TTGTTAATTGATGTGGCAAGACCATTGGGGACAGTTTCCTTGACAGGGGATCCTGGAAGGTGGAGAAAGCAAGCCAAGCACTAGCATGTTGGCCACTTGCTGGTCTGCGTCTTGTCTGCAGATGCAACGCCACCTGCTCCCTCAAGTTCCTGCCGCTGTGACATCACCACCGTGGGGGGCTGAACCTTGGAACAGTGAACTGGCCTTAAGATGCTTTTGTCAGGGTATTTTATCACAGCAACAGGAAAAGAAACAAAGACAGATGGCTTCGTAGTGTGGGGCCTGAGTGACTAGAGGGAGAGATGCCTTTCACCCAAGTGGGAAGGACCATGGCAGTGGACTCGGGCGACCTGAGACTTGTGGGCCCTGTGAAGCATTCTCAGGGACATGTTCAGTCTGTAGTTGGTTAGATGTATCAGGTGTGGAATGTAGGGAGGCCTGGGCTGGGGAATATCCGGTTAAAGATGTGGTATGTAGCCCAGAGCCTGGATGGTGCGTGTAGAGTGAGAATTTGGAAAAGAGGAGTCTGGAGCTTGGGCCCTGGGTGTGCTAGTGCGCTGAGCTTAGGAAACCCAAAAAGATCCTCCTGAGAAAGAGCAGCCAGGAGGGGGAAGCAGAAAGGGGTGTCTTATGAGGACAGCATGAGAAATGGTTTTGAGGTAGAGTGGCCAATTTTGTGAGAAGCTGAAGATAAGTTCTGTTGAAAATGATCGTTGGTTTTGACAGTGCGGAGGTCACTGGTGTCTGTGGGAGCAAACAGGACAGGAATCGGAAGAGCTCAAGTAGCTCTTTCAAGGAACTCTGCTCTAAAGAAGTCCGTTAGTTGTGGTTAGAGCCACAGCTTAGGGCTCTCCTGCCAGAGCGGTACGGTGCAGTTAAAGAAGAACATTTGAAGGCCAGGCCCAGTAACACAGGCCTGTTTTCCAGCACTTGGGAATTGCAGGCAGAAGGATCAGGAGTTAAGATTATCTTCCGCAACATTACTGTGTTAGAGGCCAGTCTGGACTACGTGAGACCCTGTCTCAACCCTTCTGCTCCTACAATACTCATTTTTGGTACTGAGGGTTGAACCCAGGGCCTTGTGCATGCTAGGAAAGTGCCCCACCTCTGAGCTGTATTCCCAGCCCCTCAGTGACTCATGTTAAAGCACAGGGAGGAAGGCTAGTTAAAGGAAGGGGGTCTGGCAACGGTAGGGATGCTGCAGTGAGATTTTGCAGTGGGGAGAGTGAGTGGGCTCAGCTCTAAGACAGCATGGGCAAGTAGAAATTGACATCCAAGTAGCAGGGTGGGGTCAGAGGAGGAATTACCAAGAGGCAAGCTCAGGGGTCTGTGTGGTGTTCTGTAAAAAGTGCAGCCTGGGGATTCTTGCTGAGGAGAGGTCAGAGTGATCGGACATCACCTGGGGAGAGTAAAGGATGAGGAACCATCAGACACTGAGGTTGATGACATAACAGGAAGGCTGATTCTTGCTAATCCGAGATATCAGAGATCTTGTTGAAACTGAATTTTGCAACGATGTGCACAGAGGGCCCAGGAGAGGGGTCCAAAGCCTGACTGATGTGTGGTCACAAAGTTTACTCTGTCAGCTGACATATACATGACCACCCATGCTCGAGGTCCTTGGGGGTGAATGCAAGATGGAGGTGTGACTTTTGTTTATTTTTATTTTATGTGTATGAGTGTATTGCCTGCATGTGTGTGACTGCACCCATGTCATGCAATGCCCACAGAGGACAGAGAGGGTGTCAGATCCCCTGGAACTGGAGTTATGGACGGTTGTTAGCCACCATGTGGGTGCTGGGATTTGAACCCTGGTCCTCTGCAAGAACAGCCAGTGTTTTTAACTGCTGAGCATCTCTCTAGTCCTTGCTTATTTTTGCATTTTGAGACAGGGTCACCCTGTAGCCCCAGCTGGCCTGGATCTTGCTATGTAGACCAGGCTGGTCTCCATCTCATAGATCCTACCTCTGCCGGGATTAGAGGCATGCGATACCACGCCCAGTGTGAGTTTGTATTTTAAGCTGATACAGATGGGATTCCCCATTCCCTTAGAAGGGCTCCTCCCTTCCCTTCCCTTGACTCACAGCAGAGCCATTGCTGTTCAGGAAGTCCCCAGGCTTGCTCTGTCCATGCCCTGTTGTCAAGGTCTCTTGGTGATGTTGGTCCTTTTACTTTAAGCTTAACCTGTACCAGGCTCTTCCTGAACGTGTGGCAGGGGGATGTGTCCTTGGTGCCTGTTAATAAAACCTTGTGTGTCAGACGTCTCGTCACTGAGAGGGTTGGAGACACCAAGTGCTGACTCTCCTGTCTTCCTGTTCTGTTTACCCCTCTGTCCTCACTGCCACCGAAAGGATTCCCTCTGTTATCTCTAGTTTCTACTCACATAACTTTAATTAAAAATTTTAAAGTATTTATTTTGTGTGTGTGTGTCTGTGTATGTGCCTGATGTATGTATGTGCAACACATTTGTGCCAGAAGAAGGCATCAGATCCCCTGGAACTGGAGTTATAGATGATTGTTAGCCGCCAGGTGGGTGCTGGGAACTGACCTCAGTCCTCTGCAAGAGCAGCCAGTGCTCTTAACCTCTGAGCATCTCTCCAGCTCCTTCAATTGGGTTTTTTGTTTTGAGGCAGGGTCTCATGTAGGCAACACTGACATCAAACTTACTGTGTAGTTGAGGATGACCTTGAACTCCTGCCTTCACCTCCCAGGTGCTGGCATTACAGGCATGTGTCACCACTGCTGGCTGAGAATGTTCTCCTGAAACCTTCCTTGTCCTGGGATTTATTTGAATAATTCTTCCCTGTTCCTCTGGAGGAAGGGGCCATGATAGGGAGTTCCTCTCAGATATCAAGAAATAATGGGTAACTATGGGCAAGGTTTTAAAAATATATTTTTAAATTTTATGTTATTGAGTATATTGTATATAAATGCACCATGTGGGGCTGGAGAGATGGCTCAGCTGTTAAGAACACTGACTGTTCTTGCAGAAGACCCAGGCTCGAATCCCAGCACCCTCGTGGCAGCTAACAACTGTCAGTTAACTCCAGTTCCGGGGATCCGACAGCCTCTTCTGTCCTCCACAGTCATTGCACAACACGGGTGCACTTACCTACATGCAGGCAATACACACATACACATAAAATAAAAATAAAATATTTTTTTAAAAGTGCACCATGAAGCTGGGCATGGTGGCACACACCTTTGATCCCAGCACTTGGGAGGCAGAGGCAGGCAGATCTCTGTGAGTTCAAGGCCAGCCTGGTCTCCATAGTGAGTTCCAGGACAGCTGGGGCTACAGGGAGACCCTGTCTCAAAAAGACTGAAAAAAAAAAAAAGTGCACCATATGCGTGTGATGCCTGAGGAGGCCGGAAGAGGGTGTCATGTCTCCAGGAACTGGAGTTACTAATGGTTGATAACCACCATATGGCTTCTGGGAATCAAACCCTGGTCCTCTGTGAGAGCAGCTGGTGTTCTAATTCAATGAGCCACCTCTCCAGCTCCCGTCTGAGCATTCTTAAGCGTTTGGTGTGGTGGAATGTGTGGCAGGCTTGTTCTTATGTTCATCTTGATGAGGACAGTGAATTCAGTGGGTGTGGTTTTCCCTTGACGGGGTGCCTGTTGTGCCATCATGGCGTTGATATTGCTGATACTGGAGAGCTTTAATATAGAGTACATTGCAATTTATTGGTTTTTCTATTTGTTTGGAACAGACTCTCACACTGTAGCCCAGACTGGTCTGGAACTCACAGCATCCTCCTGCCTCAGTCTCTTGAATGCTGGGATTATAGGCACAGGCTTGATTGATTTTTTTTTTTGGTTGTTTTTTAAATTTTTATTTATTAGTTTTTATTTTTTTGTGTATGAGTATGTTGTCTGCATGTATGTAAGTGCACCCATGTTATGCAAAGCCTGTGGAGAAGAGGACCCGTGTGAGTGCTGGGACTTAAACCTGGTCATATGCAAGAGCAGCCAGTGCTCTTAACCATGCACAAGACCATGCCTGGCTTTTTATGTGGGTGCTGGGGTTAGAACTCAGGTCTTCACGTTTGCTTAGCAAACTTTGGTGTCCACTGAGTCCCTGTTGCTTTTTTTTTTTTTTTTTTTTAAAGACAGGGTCTCACACACAGCCCTGATTGGCCTGGAACTCTCTATGTAGACCAGGCTGGCCTGGAACTCACAGAGAGCCACCTGCCTTACCTTCCAGGTGCTCCCAAGTGCTGGGATTAAAGGTGTACCACCATGCCCAGCCCCTCCCCCACCTCTCTTTTTAAGAAGGGGTTTCCTGCTGTAGTCTAGCTTCACACTTGCAACCTTCCTGCCTTAGCCTCCAGAGGGCTGGGATTACAGGTGCGCATCACCCTGGTTTTGTCTCTCCTTTATCACCTCCATCATTGGATTTTTAAATTCATGGTCAATATTTGCTCACAAGCATTCTCGTGTGTATGTAGGTTTTTTGGTTTTGTTTTTTTTTTTTAAAAGACGGTCTTACTCTTTATTTCAGGCTAGCCTGGAACTCAATGTGTAGCACAGGTTGGTCTCAGACGTGGGATGATCCTCCTGCCTCAGCCTTCCAGTGCTGGGGTTATAGGTGCATGCTACCACAGCTGGCTAAATCAGGTTGTCGGTGAGGTCTACATTTAGTTCATGCATCTCACGAGTTTCCTTTAACCCAGTCGCTCCACTCTTTCTCCTTGAGTTTGTTGAAGAAACAGAAATTGTTTTAGGGCTGCTCTTTCTGCCCCACACCCTTCCTGAGGATATCTCATAGTTAGTGTGGCGTACCTCTATCAGGAGCATTAGTGCCTGATTTCTCTGTTATGAAAGCAGCCATTGGTATTTCTTCGTTGTATAGATGGACTCATTAGGGGAATAAGGATATTTCAAGAGAAATGATAGTCACGTAGAATTCATGACGGCCAGCTTGCTTTGCTTTCTTCATGGCTTTACTCAGTAATTAAATATGGTTGCATTTATTCACTCAATGTTCTGTTTTCAGGAAGACTATCTACCAAAGTGTTCTCCACGCTGTTTGCCCTGCTTGGCCTCTTCATTTGTTTCTTTGGACACAGATTCTGGAAAACAGGTATCTTTTCTGACATATGTGCTAGTTCTGGGTCCCTGCTGCATGCTGCGGGTACACTTACTTGTGAAGGAGTGTGACTGTTTCTAGATTTCCAGCTGGTTCTGTGGCTGATTCCTCCCCCAGCTGGTCTGCACTTTTGTTTTTCCTCTTCTCTAAACAACAGAGTGCAATCTTCCTCGTAAGACAGAGACTAACATTGGGTTTTATGGCAGGCTTCTTCGATTCTTTGGTCTGCTAGTTGACTGAAGGTCAGTGAGATTAGAAACATCGTGATGGCGGAAACGTGGATTTGCAGTGATGGGCTTGAGTTCATAGAAATCAGGCTGGGGCTGTGCTGAGCCGTCAGACTGAAATGTCTGCTCAGCTCTGGGAGCGTCAGCCTCAGAAGGAAACAAGTGAGACAGGTCAGAAGAGGGCGTCAGATTCCCGGAACTTACAGACAGTTGTTAGCCGCCGTGTGGGTGCTGGAACCAAACCCGGGTCCTCTGCAAGAGCAGCCAGTGCTCTTAACCACTGAGCATCTCTCCAGCCCTTCCCTACCTTTTAGATAATTCTTTTCTTCTGTGAATTGCCATAATGTATAAATAAGCATGTACTTGTACATTAGATGTCTCAACTGCATTGTGAAGAGAGAACCTAACCATATATATTCTTCCCTGTTTGCTGGTTTATTCCCAGAATTGTTCTTCATCGGCTTCATCTTCCTGGGATTCTTCTTTTATATCCTGATTACTAGACTGACATCCCTTAAGTATGATGGTAGGTGAAGATGCCACTCTAACCCGAGGTGCAGTGGGGAAGCTGCCATTTGCACCTTGTCTTCTGCTGTCTGACCTGTGCTGCGGGTCACAGGCACCATGCCTGAGATGTTGGGCCGCCTGTGCTCTGAACCCATTTCCAGCTTCATTCAGACCTACCCTCCTGGGCTTTTAATCTGTGTGGTGAGCTTCTGGGCGTTTAGAAAAATGTGCTTATGTTCCAGCCGCGACCTGTGTGGGAGACATACACTACGTAATCGAAATGTTGAGATTGTTTTTATGTTGAAACTGTTTGCCTCACACTCAGGAGTCAGTTCCAGGTTGGTGTATGTTGTTAGAGTAAGTTCTGGGCCAGCCTAGGCTACAGAGTGAAGCACTTTCTCTAGAAAACAAAATGAATGGGGAGAAAAAAAAGAAAACGAAATGAGAGCTAGGGCCAGGGTTGATGATGCATACATGCCTCTAAGTCCAGCAGTCAGGAAGCTAAGGCAGGAGGATTCTGTGTCTGAGGGCGGCCTGTTCTACATAGAGACTAAACAAGGAGGCGGTCGGTTGAGGGTGGCTCAGCAGCTAAGCACTTGCCTAGCCTGTGAGATACCGGCGCCATAAAAACAGGCAAATCTGCTACTCTGGTATGTGGGAGACTGAGGCAAGAGGATCACCATGAGTTTATGGCCAGTGTGGACTGCAGAGTAAGACCCTGCCTCAAAATACCAGGGGTCCCCTAAAGATAAAAATAACCCCAACAGTCTCCTACCTAACCTCATTTTCTGTTCTTTGAAACAGCGTCTCATGTAACTTAGACTGTCCTGGAACTCACTATGTAGCAGAGGCTGACCTTGAACTTCTGGTCATTCCTGATTTATGCAGTGCTGGGGACTGAACCCCACCGAGCACTCTGTTAACTGACACACCCTCAGCGTCGCCCCTCACAGCCCCACTCCACAGGGTGCTTGTCACCTTTTCTTCCCAACTTAAGACCAACTAGTCTGTCCCTGGCCCCGGAGTCAGCTCCTTAGGGACGTGCAGGCTGCCCCCATGTGTCTGAAGCTTGGGTTGAAGCCCACTGACCTGCCCCCATCCTCTCCCTGTGCAGTTCGTCTGGTGCTCACAGCCGTGGCCGGCAGTGCCGGTGGAGTCCTTCTGGTGGCTGCTTGGTGGCGTTTTGGGACCCTCCTACTCTGCATGCTGTGTGTTGGACTCGTGCTGGGCTTCTTCATTGCCTCTGGGGCTTTCTTCACTCCGCTGGGTATGAGATGCCAATTCTGGCCATGTACCAGGCACATTCGGGAAGATTTCATTTGGGCTCTCTGAAGCTGGTGAGGAGTTTGGATCATCAGGAATTGGCTGCATTCTCTTCCTGAAGAGTCATGATGCTTGCAGAGACGACGTGAGAGAGGACCAGCTCAGATACAAGCCCTCCTTCCTCCTCAGAGGACTCTATTAGAGGATCTTAGAATGTCCTTAGTGACAGCCCTCCATGGGCTTCTGTTAAAATCAACACAAGTAAACAGGGCTTTTATGGCAAAACAGAGGTGGCTTTTTTCATTTTACTTAAAAATTTTGGGGCGGGGGCTGGAGACATGGCTCAGTGGTTAAGAACACTGGTTGTTCTTGCAGAAGACCTGGGTTCAAATCCCAGCATCCACATAGCAGCTAACAACTGTCCATAACTTCAGTTCCAGGGGATCCGACAGCCTCTTCTGGGTTCTGCAGGCATTGCATGACACGGGTGCACTTACCTACACGCAGGCAATACACTCATACACATATAAAATAAATATTAAAAATTTTTTTTCATTACTTTTTTTTTTTAAGGTCTTTTTGAGGCAGGGTCTCCCTGTAGCCCCAGCTGACCTGTAACTCACTATGTAGACCAGGCTGGCCTGGAACTCACAGAGATCCACCTGCCTCTGCCTCCCAAGTGCTGGGATTAAAGGTGTGCAGCACCATGCCTGGCATAGTTTTCATTACTTTTTAACTGTGTAGGGTATGTATGTGTTCATGTGTATGCACTGCCTGCAGAGGCAAGGGAATTATTAGATCCCCTGGAGCTGGAATTACAGGTGGTTGTGAGCCATCTTATGTGGGTGCTGGGAACTGAGCTCAGGTCTCTGCAAGAATAGCAAGTACTCTTAACCACTGACCAATCGCTCTAGCCCCATTGTTTAAAATTAATTTATTTATTTTAAGCTAAAGTCTCCCTCTGCAGCCCAGGCTGGCCTTGGACTTGTGGCAGTCCTCCTGTCTCAGCCTCCTGAGTACAAGGATTGCAGGTGGGAGCCACCATACTCAGGTGCTTTTAAAAAGTTTGAAACCTTCAGACTATTAAGTGAATCATAGCACCCCCTTCAAAGGGCACCATATTGATCATGAAGAAAAGCACCTGTTTCTGGCCATCAGCACAGTCCTTGGCTTTTGGGTCCAGACACCCAGAAAATGAAATTTAACTTTGGGAACATCCTATTCATTCTCGATTTCTCTCTACTTTCCCAGGAAACCTAAAGGTTTTCCATGACGATGGAGTGTTCTGGGTAACATTCTCTTGTATAGCTCTGCTTATCCCAGTGGTGTTCATGGGCTGCCTCCGAATAGTAAGTGTTGCATTGAGGTTGCCGCTCACTTCCTGCCCTGCCCCGGGCCTCTGGCTGCTCACCTACCATCTCTGTTGCATTCTCTAGGGAGGGATGTGGGGCTATCTCTATGAACCCAGTGGTACTTGTGTGGCTGTCACAGCGTATGCTTTGTTTTTCTCCAAATGGAGCTTCAGGTTTGAGTACATCCTAACACAGCATCCTGAAGGAACAGCCTCTGCAGAGCGGCTCCTGACTGGATGGTGTTGTCGAAGACTAATTTCCTGTCTAGTCATGCGTTGCTCAGCAACAGGGCTGTCTTCTGAGAACATCATTCAGCAGTTTTGCATAGTTCATTCTCAGAGGATACTTCACAAACGGGGGGCTGTCATGTCACCATGGCATAGAATCTTAGGGGACTGGAGTCACGGTCTATAACCTCATATGGTGCTTTCATGACCTAAGCTGTGTTGATAGAACCCACAATAGCTATCCAAGGGTGTCACCCCTTCCTTGAGTCCTTTCCCTAGACAGGCCCGGGTGGGAGCTGGAAGCCATCCTTGCTCTGCCAGGGTGACGCCTGCCTCTTCCTCTTCACAGCTGAACATCCTGACTTGTGGGGTTGTTGGCTCCTACTCGGTGGTCTTGGCTGTTGACAGTTACATGTATACCAGCCTCTCCTACATCACTCTGAATGTCCTCAGGCGAGCTCTCAACACAGATTTCCGCAGGGCTTACCTCAGTGTGCCTTTTCAAACTAATGGTAAGACTTTTTAAAAATTTTTTAAATTATTTTTTGCATATAAGTATATTACCTGCATGTAACTACACCCATGTTGTGCAATTCCAGAGGAGGTCAGAAGAGGGCGCTGGAGCCCCTGGAACTGGAGTTACAGATGGTTGTTGGCTGCCATGTTGGTGCTGGGAACTGACAAGCCCTCTGCAAGAGCAGCCAGTGCTCTTAAACCGCTGAGCCATGTCTCCAGCCCTGAGACTCTTAAATCCAGAACTGAGGCGATGGTCAAATAGGAGTGTTAACTAACCCAGGAGAACAACACTTGAAAACACCAGTTCAGGCAGAGAGGAAATGCCTGGTTGGTTCCTGTCAGGGAAGAGGTCTGACACCCACTGGTGGGGCTGAAGGAGGCCTGGACATGACGGCCTAATTTATTTTTACTCTCCATTTCCCTCCTTTAATGAAGCTGCAGTTTGCTAGCTGAAAGCGAAAGTGAGTTTTAACCAGTGACTGCTGTTTCCTTGACTGTAAGATGCTGTCCATTACAGATTCTTCTTTTTTTTTTTTTTTTTTTGAGACAGGGTATTAGTGTACAACCAAGGCTGGCCTCAAACTCACAGTGATCCTCCTGCCTCAAGCCTCCATGGGAATACACCCTGCCTGGGTTTCATTAATTTTTCAAAAGAAAATGACCACCACATAATGTTTACAAAGTTTTCAAACTTTGATTTCAGAAATATTCAAATATGCAGCACAGAAAAGCATGCCTTAGAACTGAGGGTATGGTAAATGGGCACGGCGGCGATTGTGAGGGCTGTTTCGTTTTTTTTTTTTTTTTTTTTTTTTTGAGACGGTGTCTCCTTGACGCCCCAGCTGTCCTGGAACTCACTATGTAGATCAGGGTGCCTTTGAACTCACAGAGACCCCCCTGCCTCTGCCTCCCAAGTGCTGGGACTACAGGCGTGCGCCACTATGCCCAGCCAATTGTGAGTTTTTAGGACAAATCTTTGTCTCCTTGGAGACTGTTTTCCAGATCTTTCTACCTGGATTAAGGGGTCAGTGGTGGAGACCGTGAAATGATGCCAAGAAACGTGTTGTCTGGAAACATGGCAGGGTCTGGGGTGTCCTCTCTATAGGAGTCTTCGGGGAGTAGACTGGAGTATGTGGACAGTAGCCAGGTCACTGCCTTTCCCTCCACTCGCTTCTGCAAAACCCTTGGGTCAGCCTTGCCTGTGGGCACTGCATGTAATGCTGGAGCTCCAGGGAGCCACACAGCAGACCCGCTCAGCACCTGCCTTGGGTGTCTGTAATAGAATGTTTCTAGTTCAAAAACAAGACTGTGGCATCCCCTCCTTGGTTTATACATGAGGAAATACATTGTATTTGGATTCCTAATACATCTGATACTAGAAAGAAGCAAATGAGTAGTGTTGTTATACATTAAATTTGACACATGAGAGCACAGCATCAGCCGTGGTGGCACACATCTGAACTCCCAGCACTTGGGGAGCTGAGACTGGAGGACTGCCCTGAGTTTGAGGCCAGCCTAGGTTCAGAGTGAGTTCCAGGCCAGTCTTGCATAAGAATTAAGGCCCCCATCTCAAAAGAAAATGGAAGAGGGGCTGGAGAGCTGGTTCAGTGGTTAAGAGCACTGGCTGCTTTTGCAGAGAACCTGGATTTGGTTCCCAGCACCCACATGGTGGCCCACAACCATCTGTAACTCCAGTTTCAGGGGATCTGATGCCCTCTTCTGATCTCTGTGGGCATTCCATGACACAGGTGCGCTTACATACACATAAAATAAAGTATTAAACTGGAAGAGAGGAGGGAAGAAAGAGGAAAAGGGAGAAAGGCTAGGGGAGAGGAAGGACTGGGAAAAGCTCAGGCTCAGGTGCTGAGTGTAAACCTAAGGACCCGAGTTCAGAGTCCTCAGAACCCATTAAAAAGCCAGGCGTGGCAGTGTGTGTTTTTAAACCCAGCACGGAGGGGCGGAGACACAAAGGATCCCTGAGGCTTCTAAAAGTAGAGAGAAGGGGCTGGAGAGATAGATGCTCAGCAGTTAAGAGCACTGGGCCACTCTTGCAGAGGAGCCAGGTTAGAATCCCAGCACCTACATGCCCCCTCTGTCCTCCTCAGGCATCACATGACACAGTGGTGCACTTGCATACATGCATGCAATACATACACATAAAAATAAGAGTGATAGGAGAGACCTGACGCCCACCTCTGCTTCCACACACGTGCATATACAATTCAGAAAAATTTTAAATTAAAAACAAAATTTAAGCTGGGCGTGGTGGTGAATCCCTTTAATCCCAGCAGAGGGAGGCAGAGGCAGGTGGGTCTCCGTGATTTTGAAGCCAGCTGGAGCTACAGGGAGACCCTGTCTCAAAAAGACAAATTAAATAAATAAAAATAAACATCTGAAAATACTAGCTCATGTCTACAACCAAGCACGTGGGAGGCTAAGGGAGGAGGATTGTCACAAGTTTAAGGTTAGCTTGTGGTACAGGTTCAGAATCTGTCTCAAAGACCAAAACAACCCCCAAATAAAATCCCAATAGTTCAAAGGATGCTTCTCTCCTTTTTATTTCTAGACTTCATCATCCTGACGGTGTGGGGGATGCTGGCGGTCAGCGGAATTACATTGCAGATCCGAAGAGAAAGAGGACAGCCCCCATTCCCTCCCCACCCCTACAAGCTGTGGAAGCAAGAGAGAGAACGTAGAGTGACGAACATTCTGGACCCCAGCTACCACACCCCTCCCCTGAGAGAGCGGCTCTATGGCCGACTCACCCAGATCAAAGAACTCTTCCGGAAGGGGCAACCAGCTGGAGAGAGGACACCCCTACTTCTGTAGATGGCCATGGGCTTGGTCAGTGTGCCTCAGCCCTGGAGTTCCTGTCCAGACTGCCCCGCTGTCCCCAATGCAGGTCCAATGTGCAGTCAAGGCTCTGGGGGACAGGATGGTGCCTTGCTGATACAGGGGGCTGAGACATTGGGAGGCCTCGCCAGGGCGTTAGAGGATTCTAAGTGACATGACAGCGGTGAACACAGACTTGGTGGTAGAAACTTTTCCTTATTTCCACGTGACTGGTTTATAAAAACATCACTGTGTCCATAAAATAGGTACACCAAAAAATAAAAGCCAAGGTTCTCCTAAAATGCTGTGGTTTCTTTGTGTGACTCCTTCACAGTTCTGAGTCTAAGCTTCTGGTGAGAGTCAAGTACTGTACTGGTGCCTTACCTGCTGTGTGTGTGTGGAGATCCAAGGATTTGATACCCTTGAACGTCAGAATAGAAGGAAAATGCCCTCTTGACTGAAAGCAGTTTAATTACTTAGCATCCTCTCTCATCTGTAAAATAACCATTTTCCAATATTTATGCAACTAAAAAATTGTAATAAAATACATTAAAAATGTATCAGCTTATTTTTAAGTATACAATTCAATATATTACCTTCAATTTTATCTCCCCGTTAGTGCTTAAAGTGGTAATATAAAGTTATGTCTGTTATTTGATTTGGCTTTTTTTGTTGTTTTGTGGGCCTATTAAAAATCATGTTGACAGGCGATCTTGATTTTAAACTCCCTTAGATGACACATGGATTGTTTAAAGACAAGTTGATCCCGACCTTCCTCTCGCATCATTGACATCAAACTTGTTAACGTGGTGGTTCTGTGTGCTCAAGGAGCTGGGTGAGCAGGTTTGGGTAAGGGCTCTTCTGTTACCAAGGCCACCTGTGTCTCCATCTCGTTCTGAGGCACTGAGCAAATCCACTACAATGAGCGTTTGGTGGCGCTGCTTTTTGTAGGGCCTGTTTTCTAAGGAGCTCCTGCTTGGACACCCCCCGTGTCTCTAAAGAACCCCAGGATGCCCTGGGCTGTCTTTCCTTCACCTGTCGGAGCACTGCAGTGAGCTCTGGGATGTTGTGCGCAGGCCTCTGACATGAGGGAGAGAAGCCTCAGCTGGTTGTGCTGTACCCTCACCTTTGTGCGGTCACCACTGTTTAACTGATGATTCTTTTTAAAGTTTCCTCAAAGCTTAGTAGGTTATTGAAATTTCATGTCACTGGAAGAATCTTCAGCTTTCACTTTTTTTTTTTTTTTTTTTTTTTTGTTTTGTGAAGACAGGGTCCCCCTGGGCCCCCAGCTGTCCGGGAACTCACTTTGTAGCCCACGCTGGCCCCAACCTCACAGAGACCCGCCTGCCTCTGCCTCCTGGGATTAAAGGTGTGTGCCACCACGCCCGGCCCCAGCACATGCTTTGAGTATCAAACAATGAAAAATTACAAAGTGAACCATTTTCTGGAAAATTATTTGTGTTATAACTGTAGCAACAAAGTTGACACACCTTTAAAAAAATAAACTTACTGCAGGGACTCGCCTCCACACATTTGTGTGTGGAATGCTGGCAAGTTATATTCTCTGTACTGTCAGAAGACACTACTGGCTAGAACTGTGAAAGGAAGAACTTGAAGGGAAATACAAGTTATTTTATAAGCCAGTTTAATTTTTGTAATATCTATTGTGAAAAAATGCTTAAAGCCTCATTATTATAATGTTCCTAGAAGTCTTTCCTAATTAATTTGTTTCATAGTGACAGGATGGGGGACAGCTTTGTAGGTATACAAACAAAATTACTCTGTAAAAATCGTAAGTTCAGTTTACAGATAATAGGAAGTGAAATAAATCCAGGGTGATGTGTTATGGTGTGTGTACATTTTTATTTGGTCTTTTTGAGACATGGTCTCCCTTGCAGCCCCAGCTGGCCTCAATCTCAGATCTGCCTGTTTCTGCCTCCCGAGTGCTGGGATCAAAGCATGTGCCACCATGCGTGGCTCATTTAGTTTTGAGACAGGATCTCATGTGGCCAAGGCTGGCTTTAGGCTTGCTATGTAGCCAAGGATGACGAAGTTATTTTTCTTGAGGCTAGGTTTGTTTAAGACATTATGGGGGCGCAGGGATCTCGGAGCGCCAGCTGTTGGGTGTGGCGCCCGTCTCCTGCGCGCACCTGGGGTGCGGCGGGTCCCGCATCGTGTTGCTGTTTGGGTCCCTGGCTCTCTGCGTTGCTGAGGCTCTCTGCTACTGGGGCTGGCCCGGCCGGGTTCCGTCCCAATCCACCATGCACTTCCTCGAGATACGAGATCCGTCAGCTGCCGGAAGGTGCGGAGACGGCGAAAGCTGGATTTCCACGGAAGGATAGCACCCCCCGGGGAGACTGAATCGTAGGCAGTAAGACACAGAACTCAGCTCAGTCAGTGGTACAGCTCCTTTATTCAGTGACTCAGCTCGGCTCCAGGCCTTAGTGATCCAGCTTCGATTGTTGAGGGAAAACCAGGATACTTTATACTGTGGGGGTAGTGGTAAAAGCCTTAGCTGATAGGTACTTTTAGGATGCCTCATTTACATGTGGTGGTGGGCTCCTGCCAGGCTGCCAGACATTGTCTGAAAATCACACAGGAAAATCTGGCAGTTTCAGAGCCGGAGGCCATGTTTCTGTGACGGCTACTTCAAAAGATGAGTCAGGAAGATGCTGGGAAGGCACCCTGCTGATAAAAGGAGTCTCTGCATATGAAGCCGAGCCCATGGGCTATCCGGACATGGAGAGACTGCTGCTTTACACAACAGGGGTCCCCAACAGACACCATAGGTCACTAGGGCCAGACTCCAAATGCTCATGGCCTGATTGTTAGTGTGGGCATTTTGCATTTACTTGCTTTTGGGCTTTCTAATTTTTGTGTGTATGTTTTGCTTGCATGTATGTAAGTGCACCCGTCATACAGTAACTGCAGACCAGAGGAATGGTTGGTAGCCACCATGTGGGTGCTGGGCATTGAATGTGAGTCCTCTGTAAGAACAGTCAATGCTCCTAACTACTGAACTACCTCTCTAGCCCTCCCACCTCCCTTTTTCGGCGTTTTGCCTTGACAACAGATCTTCAAATACATCTAGCAGACAGCAAGCTGACCTCTGAGAGACTCTCGGGAGAACTCCAAGCATCTGGCCACAGATGGTAAATTTGAAAGCAGGATCAGACCAAATACTTCGGTTTTAAAGGAGCCAAGGACAACGCTGCTGATCTTCCTCTGGGTGCCGAGTGCCTCGGTCGGGGGTTCTCTGCAGCCACAAGGACTTATCATTAGGGCCTGGATTCTGATCAGCTTGCTTCGTGGTTTTTTACTGAAGCTTACATGTACTCTTCCTGAGTGTGCTGCTTGAGGTGTTTTCAGGATGAGTGATTCTGACATGGTCACAGAGCTAACCATTGATGTTTTCTGAAGGCTTTGGTGTTTTTAAAAAGTGGGTTAATTGCTTTCTTTTGCTGACATAGAAAAATAGAATGCAAGGATATCATTAACTTAAAAGCCAAGTCAAGGGGCTGGAGAGACGCTCAGCAGTGAAGAGCACTGGCTGCTCTGCGGAAGATCTGGGTTTGGTTCCTAGCACCCCCATGGTGGCTAGTAACCATCCATAACTCCAGTTCCAAGGGAATCCAACATGTGACCTCTGCAGGTACTGCATGACATAGGTGCACTTACACATATGCAGGCAATACACTTATACACCAGAAGTATTAAAAAGTCCAAAGAACTCAGTGGCTTGTGGTCAACGCACTTCCTGCACAAGCCTGAGTTCTAGCCCCATAACTTACGTAATGGTGGGGAGAACAGCTCCAAAGGGTCCTCTGACCTCCATACACATGCACCCACATCGCACAGGCCATGCACGCAATTTTGTAATGAAAGATTAAAAAATATTTCTATTTGCCAGGTGTGGTGGTGGTGCATGCCTTTAATCCCAGCACCTGGGAGGCAAAGGAACTGGGATTTCTGAGTTCCAGGCCAACCTGGTCTACATAGTGAGTTCCAGGCCAGCTGGAGCTACAGGGAGACCCTGTCTCAAAAAAAAAAAAAAAAAAAAAAAAAAGATGAAATTTCAGTTGTTTGTATATACATTTAAAAAAAAACTAGGTTTTCTGATACACAGTAAACTTACAATCTCGGAGGATGAGGTTATAGGAAGAGGCTGATTACTTGGAATTGTGTATTTTTTGGTATAATTTATTTTTCTTTAAAGACAAAGGATAAAAATAATATGGCTTGGGTGCGATGTACCTCGGTGGTAGATGTCTGAGATGTCCAGGGCCTGGGGCTCAATCCCAAGCACCTTCTACCACAAAATAGAAAAAAAAACATGATGAAATAAACTTGTAATGATGTATACAGATTCATAGTCCATAAAAGAGAAATATATGTGGATGTCTACTGCAGCATCATTGTGTTTAAAATATTGTAATTTGAGTGTCCACAGGAAAGAAGAACAAGTTATGTCACACAATGGTAGCTACAAAGTACCTAGTTTACAGGCAACAGAAAATGGCTGTTATGCACCTGATTTTCACAGTTGTAACTCTAACTTTGTGCAAGGTTCATGTTGTATATATGCTTGTGTCATGTGTGTAGGTCAGATGTTGGGTGTGCTCCTCAGTCCCTCTCCACCTTGTTTTCAGAGGAGGTCTGTCCTTGACCTTGAGGCTCATCAAGTGGCCAGACTGGCTGGCTGACAGTCCCAGGGCTGGGATCACAGGTGTGTACTGCAGCACCTTTTTCAGTTTCTAGGGAATCTGAACTTAGTCCCCCATGCTTGTGTGGCAAACACCTTACCTACTGAACCCTCTCCCCAGCCCTGGAAATGTGTAGCTTACTATCAAGCTTTTATTACACAGACCTGTTTTCTGTTGCTTGACTCTGAGTCACTGCACCAGTGGACACTGACAAATGACTTTCTTCTACTGTATATTCACGGTTAATTCCATGTAGCTATTATCGGACAAGGGGCAGGAGGTAAGTTCCTGATGTATCTGCTAAGGAACAGGATAGAAAGTATAGTCTAAGGTGGCACCTGTAGCTTTGGTTTTGGACTTAATGAACGAGTTAGGAGAAGAGCACGGGAGGCTCTGCGAGTGGGGGAGAGTCTGGCTTTGGCAGCTTCAGTCTGAGACACTTCTTTGGCAGGCAGAGGCGGACGAGGCTGGTGGTATAGGATCTAAAATGGGCATACAATGGGCAAGTCCTCCAAGGAAGTGAGGGAGTTACAGCACTGAAGAGGGAGGAAGGACTGAGTGTGGCCTCTCCAGGAACAGCCAGCCAGGACTCTGTTCCCTCAAATACCAGCCTGATCCCAGCGTGTGAAAGGCTGAGTCAGCAGGACTGCCTACACAGTAAGTCCCAAGCTAGCCCCGGTATATGAGACTATCTCAACTCCATCCCCACCCTCCAAAAAAGAAACAATTGCTATAAAAACATTTCCTGCTTCACCCTAGCAATCAAAACAGAAAACAGGAGCCACCAAAATGCAGCTGCAGACCTCTGACCTTCCATTTTTTCACTGAAGGCAGTTAGACGTACAAAAATTTGGGTCACCTTAATGTTAAAGCATACAGAAATGTAAGGGAGAGATGCTCAGCGGTTAAGAGCACTGGCTGTTCTTACAGAGGACCTGTTTGAATCCCAGCACCCACACAGTGGCTAACAACTGTCTTAACTCCAGTTCCAGGGGATCCGACATCATCTTCTTACCTCTGTGGGCACTGTGAGACACAGGTGCACTTATATACATGCAGGCAATACACTCATACGCACAAAATAATAAAAGTAAATTTAAAAAAGAAATGTAAGCTTTGCTTTCAAATTCAAGTGGAGACACGCCAGTTTTCAGCTCTCATCTTTACTGACAACACAGGTCCCTTCTCGGTACACATGCAGAGATAAGCTTAAAGTTCTGTTTGGGGGAAAAAAAAACCAGGGATAGAAAACTGATGCTAAAAACAAAGTAAATAGCTTTAATGACCTTAAAATTATATTCAATAAAGACGAATGATAAATTATCTTTTATAAAAATAATCATTTATCAAGCAATGTTTTGTAATAGAGCTGGCTCAACGAACTGCCTCAGCCTTACGTCAGCTGTGGAGTTTGTTTTTTTAAAAATTTAAATTCTTACATGGGATAAAACTATATGAATGAATGTGACATTAAATTAAGGGATACTCTCCAAAGAACCAATAAAGAAATCTTAAAAGCAAGCTCACTCACTGACAGACTATTAAGGCCTCTGAATGAGTGCTGTTTAACGTCCGGGCCAGCGGTCCTTTCCCAAGCAGCTCTGTTCCCACCCATTCATCCCAAATTCAAGCCAAAAAACTTCTGAAGTGAAAAGTAGTTTGAATTTTACCAATATATGAAATTATACATAAAAATTACAGTGCAAAGTAATGATTTCTAACAAATTATATACTGAAAAGTAGAACTTTTCCTATCTGTGCTCATTCTAACACATAGTTAATAACAAGTGTATTTGGTCATATTTGATTCTTATCCTTTTATTCTCATCACTACGAAATAAGAAGAACGGAGGTTCCGTGGGTGTCAAAGAGCATTTCTGTGTCTGTGGCTTTAAAAAATTTACATACTATAAAGATATTTCTTTTTTTTTTTTGTCTTTTTGAAGCAGGGTCTCCTTGTAGCCCCAGCTGTCCTGGAACTCGCTATGTAGATCAGGCTGGCCTTGAACTCACAGAGGTCCACCTGCCTCTGCCTCTTGAATGCAGGGATTAAAGGCGTGTGCCACCACGCCCGGCTATAAAGATATTTCTTAAATACAAAAGAAAGTTTTGTGGCTCCACAGATTTTTTACCCCTCCCCCCTTTCCAAATGAAAGACTGTAAGGAAATCTTACAGTGATAGAACCAAATGGGCTGAAGAAACCCAGAACATTTTTTAAATTTGGATCTATTTTTTCATGTATTGCAAGAGTAATTTCTTACATAAAAACAGAAGGATTCCAAATTTACTTTTGGGATGACCATGCCTATCTTGTTGCACTGAAGATTTCAACTGTCAGCTAAGTGAACCGTATATTCTTCGACATCAACCAGAGGGGAGGAAAAACTTATTTTCATTATTAACTGAGAACTTAAACTTATTCTTTCAAAGTAGTTTAACCTACTCAATGTGTCTACTATAAGACTGTCTTTCTTAGAAAGTAATATTCCTTCTCTTTCATTCCTGAAATGGTATTTCAAACACAGGCCAGCCATTGATAACTGAGCTAAATACGAGCCGGGGCATTAGCTGTAGTAACTGCCATCTGCTTGTGGTGCGCATAACACATTCCTATTGCCTTTGACAAAGAACTTGAACGTAAGGGAAAGCAGGCAGGCACTAAAGCTGAAGCCTCGTGGCACACAAGCTTTGTTAACTGACACCAAACAGAAGGACACAATTTAGAGCGAAGAGCTTCCATTCACAAAACCATGGTGAAACTTACATTTAAAATTGGGATAATTCTAGAATTCCCAAACACACACTGGGAGTACTCAGGTTATCTATGTGTCATCCAAAAGCCCATAGCCCGGCTGAAAGCTTCGCTGTGCCCAGCAGTCACTGAGAACGTCTTTCACTGCTCAGTTACTCACTCTCCACTTTCCTGACATGTTTGGAGTACAGGTCTCGGCCACGACCATGCACTCTCTGTTGCTATTGGCCAGTGCACTTGCACACACTAGAGGAAAACAGGGTTGGCTAACGCCGAGTTCTGCGTTGTCTCCATTCTCTTCTGGGCGGTTCAGGAGACCGACCGCACGGAGGAGCCACACAGGCACTCCGGACCGGAAGCCTCTCAGCTCTTCCTCAGACTCAGGTCACTACTGGTCACCAAGGCTGACAAAGACGTACTTTCTGACGCATCATCCTTCCGAAGGTTCAGAAATGACTCTCTAGTTATTTGAAGGATCTCTCTCAAGCCTTTGTTTTCTTGCTGTAAGAACACGAACAAAAACAAAGATGGTGGCCATTTACAAGGTGGCTCTCAGAGAGTAAACATACTCTAAAAAGCCAAACATTGGAACAAGTAGAAACCCACTTCTGTAACTGACGTAAACATGATGAATGCTACATGCAACTGGTAACTGGAATTGAAAAGACACATTTCAAAACATCTCTGAAGAGGCAGCGTCATAGGCTCAAATTCTTCCAGCACAAGTCTCAGATGTAGATACAACTGAGATGAAGACGCAGAAATCACCTATTTTGAAAACACTTTAGAGATGAAGAAACAAACCCCTAAACCTCGCAGAGGTAGCACACAATACCCTCACTAGAACCTCTCAGTCCGTCCAGGTGTGTTTGTTTAGCTCAGCACAGTCGGAAAGCAGCAAGGCTGGCAGGGGTTCCTTTCTAGAAAGGTGTTAATGGCTGTGCCTAGCACCGTACGCAGTTGCGCAGCTTCTCCCTCAGTCTTTACCATGAGGCATGTGGACGAGGCTCCCTGACATCCCTACACTTCTGTCTTCAGCCTCACTTTCTAGGCTTCAATGGTCTGGCCTAAAGTGTGCTTCTGGACACAGCAATGCCATCTCTTCGTCTGTGACTGCTGCTCCATTACAACGACAGTTTGCAGAGTCTGAAATACTTTCTGGTCCTTCAAGGAGAAAGCTGGCCTCCCGCTGCGACGCAAACGGGAGAACACTGTTTATAGAGATCATCTTTGTCATCCGTAAGCTTCCCGAGCATGATTTCAAAACAGAACTCTTTTTTTTTTTTTTTTGGTCTTTTTGAGACAGGGTCTCCCTGTAGCCCCAGCTGTCCTGGAACTATGTAGACCAGGCTGGCCTTAAACTCACAGAGATCCGCCTACCTCTGCCTCCCGATCAAAATGGAACTTTTTAAAAATTTATTTCTTGTATGTGGTGTACATGCTGTGTGTGTTTGCAGGTGTGCCTGCCCGTGTGCACATGGAGGGGCCAAAGTGTCTGTAGGCCGTCTTCCTCTGCTGCAATTCACCTTTCCTTTGGAGATGGGTCCCTTCCTGAGCCTGGAGCCCACTGTTTCAGCTAGCTGATCAGGCAGCCCGTGCCCAGCTTTTCTGTGGGTGCTGGAGACCCGAACTCAGGTCCTCGTGCCTGCACAGCAAGATCTTCACCCACTGACACATCTCTCTAGCTCCCAAAGGAAACTCTCAAAAGTATCAAAGCCCCACAGCCGACTGTGGTTATACAGAAAGGACTGACGGTTCTGTACCACAAAGCAAAGGACAAAGAGATTTTTGCAGCTCACAGAAAAAGCAAACACTGTGAGTGGCAGGATAACACCCCTAACCCTGGAACTCGGAGGGCAGAGGCAGGAGGGTCAGGAGTTTAAGGCCTGCTTGGGCTGTATGGGACCCTGTCAAACAAAACAAAATTCTTTCTAGGTACGCACACACCACCCTGACAAAACTCTCTCACATACATACCACAATCTGTGTGGTTATTTTTTTTTGGGGGGGGGGGTACTGTTTTTAAGATTTGTTTTACTTTATGTGTATATATGAGAGCACCATGTGTGGCTGGGGCCTGTTGAGGCCAGAAGAGGATGTCAGATCCCCTGGAACTGGAGTTATAGGCAGTTGTGAGCCATACCATTTGGGTATTGGGAACTGAACCAGGTCCTCTGTAAGAACAGCCAGTACTCTGAATTCCTGAGCCGTCTCTCCAGCCACTGTTTACGACATGGTCTCATGTAGTTCAATTTGGCCTTGAGCTCACTATGCAGCTGGGCACTGCTTAGCTTCCTGATCCTTCTGACTCCACTTCCCAACTAGAATTACAACAGAGATGTGTGCTACCACACCTGGCATTATTTGTTGACCATAAAACACTTCTCTGGATCATCATGATCTCCAATAGGAAGAACAGTTTAAAATTTTTTTAAATTAAAAAAAAAATTCCACATACACCAAGTAAGGAAAACAATGCAGAATCAAAATCAACCTTCTCAACTACTTAAGTATTAACACATCACTGATGAGCCTGTATGCGGGCATCACTACCTAAGTGGTCTACTTCATACATTCATGACCACATCCAGATTCAGATAAAATGACCATGTACTTTCAGACTTACTTCAAGCTGAACTATCCGCTCCTGCTCCTTACAACCCTGCTGCTCGTCAATTTCAATGGCCTTCTTCATTACTGCTGCCATTTCCGTTATCTGGTCAACATGTGCTTGCAACTCCTGGAAAAAAGGACGGAGTTGGAAATCACTAGAAGACTTTATACCTTTTATCTCTGGATTCTTCCGTGTGTACAGAACTGTAGTGCCACCTAACCAAAGGCCCTGAACAAATGCATTGCTAGCTCATTATAAAGAGGGTTGCCCATGAACATGTTTCTGAAATCAGGTATGTTAAGACTAGAATAAAGGATGATCAGCACAGTGTAAGCACACCCAGCAGCAAAAAATGTACTTATTTCACATTTACCACAGTGGTCCGGGAAATTTTCTTTTTCACACCTACATACACTGGGCAAAGCAATGGAAAAGGTAAAAATTGCTGACACATTCCATCTCTTTTCTTCCCTAGGTCTTCATGCTTCACAAATCTTTTCTACATTATTAAAGCCTAAAACTGATCCCAGGTCAACCTGGAGCTTTTCTAGACCGTAATCCCTAGGAGCAAGGCTGTACCCTGTTTGCGCCTGCCTGTTATTTAGTAAGTGCTGAGTAAGAGGAACAGAGTTCTGTTATGGAGTATTAAATATAAGTGGCTGCTTTTGCTATTGTTGAAAATAAAGTGAATTTCTGTATTTATCAATTTTACACATTCTTTTAATCTCACTGCTCGTTCTCTACATGCTAATGACCCACCAAGTGCTATGGTAGGAATCAGGATTATAACGCCTGTAAAGACATCCTCCTTGACCTGGCGAGCTTATAGTTCTGTGAAAGAGACAGACCAAAAGGTTTAAAAATCAACAGACCCCTGAGAATAATCATTATCAACAGTTTCTAGAGATCACTCTCCACTGGCAATGGAAGCTACATTATATCAAGACAAAATTAAGTATTAAAGTCAACAAAAATCCTCAAATAAACACCAAGTCTTTAAAATGATTACACAAATTCTATCTGTATGAAGGATTTGATCAAGACCATAGGCCAGGTTGGGAGTTGCAGGCCTTTAATCCCAGTACTCAGGAGGCAGAGGCAGAGAGATCTCTGTGAGACGGAGGCCAGCCTGGTCTACATAGTGTGTTGCAGGCCAGCTGGGGCTACAGGGAGATGCTGCCTCAAAAATAATACTAACTCTGCCTCATAGCTATACTAGTGACTGTTTAAGCGCTCCCTGGTCACACAGGGCTATGTGCCTTCCACAGCGGATGGTGCAGGGGAAGAACATCCCATCAATTCAGGACGGTCTATAGGCACCCTGGATTAGATAGACTGCGGGAGCAGAACTGCTACCAGGAAGGTTATCTGCCGTATTCTGCAACACTGAACATCATTAGAATTCCTCCTCCTGTCATGGACACATGATGTTTGAAGCTAAGTAAGCACAGGTAACTGCAAACTGAACAGCTGTAATACAAACTGTGAATGCAGCAGTGTTCTCAATATCATTTGGTCAGTCCTGTGGCAATGGCCTAGGTGTAAAAAGTACATAGAAAGCCAATAATTCTTTGTCTTTAAAATAGAATAAAAAAGAGTAGCTATTAATTTTTCAGTAGAATCTTTTCTAACAAGATCACCAGAAGAAAAAACCCAATACTTGGAACAGCATTTTATAGGCCCAGTGACACATTAACTGTAACAGGAATCTCAGCTTTTAATGGGCACAAAGGCAGGAGGTGAGCCATACAATCTTTGACCTGTCTTGAAATACTTTTCAGTCTGTTTATTTCTACTTACTCCACAAAGACCTGCCACAACCAAGCTGTCCAACAGTGAAGACACACGGAGGAAGCACTATTGTGTTCAACGACTGTTGAAGCAAAAGATGCTTTTGTTTTACTTGTGAACTCAAAGGACTACAGACTAAAAACCCAAACTAATCCAAGTTTGATGGAGCAGGATTTTTATAAAATCAGGCTAACACTAGTATCGAGAAGTATCGTGGATGTCTAGAAGTGCAATGTTTTATGGCAGCAGACACTGCAGTAGCATGTGATGAGCAAACCAGAATGGGCTGGTGAGCGCCCTTCAGGTCTCCAGTCACGTAGGATGGCCTAGATCCCCTCTGCACGACACACAGAGTGGCAGATTTAGTCTCTACACTCAACAGCATGGCTATAACAAGCACCACTCTTTAACTGAAGAACTTTTTAAATGGACCCCTTTCCGTCCTCCCCCAAAGATGACTGTTTGATGCAGTGTACATTCTGATTTGCTTCCAAGTGTCTCCTCTCCAGTCCATGCTGAGGTGCTTCAAGGGTGTGTCGAGATGCATCAAGGGAGAATCCTTCGCTGCTGTTACGATGCACCATGTCAATCTGTAGTACAGAGTCGTTATATAATGTTAACACGGATTTCATCCGTTACTTAAAAACTGAATGAGTGTTAGTTCATGCGTGTTAGCTGACTGTTTGAATGTTTGTATTTTTAAGATTTCCAAAAAGGCATCTGTTCAAAAATAAGTATTTGGATGAAACTGAGTCCTCAAACTTTCTACTGACTTTTAAACATGCACTCAGAGTTCTAGACTGAGTGCAAAATTCTGTATGACAACAGTCTCAAAGGGGTCTCTTATTCCAGAACGCTATGTGGAACTCTGTATGATCCCTGAATGTGCTGATTTCATGTTCAGGCATGTGAGAACCAGTGCCTAAGCAATCCCAGAATCACATACTCTGTGCCAACACCATGCTCTTCCGCCTACCCATCTGCTTACGGAGCATCCACTCCGTAATTAATGCAAGGCTGTAATAAATGATTTTCCTTCTCTCCCTGACATTTTTTCAGCTTTTGCTTATGAAAACTAACATAGCTCGCACCAGTATCACAATGACTCACCTTATGCTCAGCTCTATTTGTGTCTACCTCCCAACACTGCACGCCCACACAGTCGTGTAGCTTATTACTTCGAATTCGCCTTGCTATTCCCGTAACAACTAACCCAGTGCAATGCGTTAATAAATGTTTGCTTCACTAAGGCAAAGAGTCTCCTTTTTGGGAAAAATCAAAATCACAAACATTAATATGTATTAGTTAGAATTAATAGCAAATAACTGAACAGCTGTTTTATGGAACGCAGGGACCAGCATTTAGATGAATTCAATCTACGTGATGAAAACACAAGGCTTAAAGCTATTTTAGAAAATGTTTAACTTTGCTAATTAACAGAATAGCACTAATGGATAGCACAAGCTAATGTATTTTGTTTACTTTAGGTAGTGGGGATTGAACCCAGGGACTCATGCACGCTAAGCACATGCTCTACCACTGAGCTACACTCCTACCCTGTTTTAGAAAAATCTGCTACCAGATGAGCCCAACAAGCTGGTGTGTCTTTTTCTAAGCACATTCGGTCATGTTATTCTTTCTTTCCTTTAGATCTTCAAGGTCTTGTTTTAAAAATTATAAAACATGGGGCATTGTGGAATTTTTCAAGATATTTCTGTCATTAATTTTGAAATTCTTTATAATTAGAAAGCTTAGTTATATATTTACTTATTAATTTTTGGAAGGAGGAGGGGGCTGAAACTCAGGCAGGCCTTGAACTTGTTATGTGGACAAGGCTGGCCTTCAACTTTTGATCTTCCTGCCTCCACATCACAAGTGCTGGGATTCCAAGTGTGTTTATGTGTTTGTGTGATCACGCTCAGTTTAGATATACATTTAAATGCTTTGTATCAAATACTACCATTAACAATGTATAGATTTTACATTCAAAAGACCGTCCGTTAAATACCCAAGAATTTCTATTTGGTTAGGGGATGACTATTAGAAACGGAATTTTTATTAATATATTATTCTACTAATTAGCATAAGAGGTAGCTATCAAGTTCTCTAATATGTAAAAAGCAAAGAGTTATCACTAGTTATTTAAGTCTGATAGAATAATTTAAAACATCAACAATCACCAAAACAGAATATTTTGAAGAATTTAATGTCAATAATTAAGAAAGGTAATATATCTTAAACTATCACCTCTCCTTAAAAAATATTAGCAATAAATAACTTCACCATTACACAATACAGATAAAGGCCTAGCTATCATAACCTAGTCTAATACTTTTATTTCACACCAGCAGTTAAAATTCATTTTAATGTAAATGAAAGATGATTCCACTCCTTTCACAACAGATGCCAGCAAAAGAGAGCTCACCAAAGGGAAGGGGCGTGAACAACAGCAAAACCACTCGCTCTAGCCCCTCAGCTGTGTCTAAAAATGACATCACTGCAGTGCTGGCTGCTCTCCTTCCCTAACCCCACGGTTTTTCATTATAATTAAGGTTGTTGTGTGGATGAACTGGCCTCACTCAAGACACTCGAGGAAAACAAACCTATACTGCAGCTTCAGTCTTCAAAGCATTCCAGTTTCTGCTGTTGCAACAGATACTATTGCAAACATTTGCTGAAGAAATTTTTTTTTTTACTTATTTTTATTTTATGTGTATGTGTCTATTGCCTGCATGTAGGTAAGTGCACCCATGTCATGCAATGCCTGCGGAGGTCAGAAGTGGCTATCAGATCCCCTGGAACTGGAGTTATGGACAGTTGTTAGCTGTCATGTGGGTGCTGGGATTCGAACCCGGGTCTTCTGCAAGAACAACCAGTGTTCTTAACCGCTGAGCCATCTCTCCAGCCCCTGAAGAAATATTTCTAAACAATAGAGAATCTTACAAAAATAATTTTAAATTGAACACTTACCTGTATTTCCAGAACAGTTTGTTTTTGAATACCCATATACACATTTAATCTACTAAGGAATGATGGGAGTTAGAGGAATAAATCAAGCAGATGATGACATACAAAGAAATGAACACAAGCGAGAGTGGAAAATGCCAATTAGAATCGTGAGGTGTTCTGTATCACATTAAAAAGCAAGTACTACATTACTGGGATTTTAAAAAAATCTGAGCACAACTTATAACCACTGCTTTCACTTCAAGTCAAATTCATAAAACGAATACCTTGGAGTGCTGTTCTCTCAACGTCATTATCACACCCTGGTCGTCTTTCTTGCTAGCCATGAGCAGTCTAAACACTTGCTCTCGGTACTTGCTCATGATCAGCTCCAAGGCGGACTGGTGTTCTTCCAAGGATGTGCGCAGCTCTATCAGGAGTGAGTACATTCATCCAAAGAGTTCAGGTTCTGTAAACCACTCTCCTCCACATCAAAGTTATCGAACATTAACTGACGTACTGGGTATTTTAAAAAGAACACAAAGACTGGCTGGGTGTGGAGGCACATGCCTTTAATCCCAGCACTTGGGAGGCAGAGCAGGTGGATCTCTGAAGTTCCAGGCCAGCTGGGGCTACAGGGAGACCCTGCCTCAAAAACACCGAAAGAAAAAAAAGAGGACACAAGGGATACCAAAGTCCATCCATGTAACAATCAGGGCTACCTGAAGGTCCTCATTTTTTTCTCCACATACAAACTTTTATACTTATCTACTGTGTGGTGTATGCACTCACACATAGGTGGACGTCAGAAAACCTTCAAAAGTCAGCTCTCTCCCTCCACTGCCTGTGGGTTGCAGGGACTGAACTCAGGCCATTAGGCTTGGCAGCAAGTGTCTTTACCCACTGAGCCATCTCGCTGGCCTACCTCATTAGTTTTTTAATGTGGCCAATTAAAGCTTATTTCTTAAAAATAATTTCAGGACTATGAGGAAAGACTGGGAAAAGCTCCATTAGTAAGTAAGATTACCTTGAGTCCTTGAGCTGAATAATGAAGGCATCTGCATCATAGGCAGGGAGCCACGAAAAGTGAATGATGTATTCAGAAATTGGTTTGTAATAGCAAGAGCAAACTGTGTGTGGAGGAAGACAGAAAAAGGAGGCCAGGAGCTGACAATGGATATCCTTGTGCAAAGACAATGGAGTTTCTTAAGAGTAGTATGATCAGGCTTACTTTGGAAACATCAGTCTGATGCTTGTGCTAAAGGATGTAGGGAAAGAGACCAGAATCTGGAGACTAGTTAGGAAGTACAGGTCATGGGCACCTACACTGGGACCATAGAGAAGGAGCAGTTACTTCATAGCTAACAAAATGGGGCAAACTGGGTGTTGTGGGGAGAAGCTAAGACATGCCAAGCCAACACCTAGAGCACTGGATAAGCAGCAAAAATGGCGAGGCCCGAAGGCCAGACGATGCATGAATACAAAAAAGGTGACCTGCCAGGTTTCATGTCTGAGAAATACTAACTGGTCCCACACCACTACCATAACCACAGATTCAAGCTCCCTCCCATGACAGTGTCTTGCCTTTGTTCTCCTGCTGCAAGTCTCTGATCTGTCGGTTTTCTTGCTGGATCCCCATGACTAGTGTGGACCGAGGCCGGTGTCTTGCAACTTCATTAAGTTCTTGAATTTCTTCCTGATACTAATGAAAAGATTAAAGAATAGCAAATAGGAAGGTAGTATTTACAAATTTATCTCTGATCTAGGAATGGAAATAAACAGATCCTCAAAAAGTTAAACACAGATGCATTTTGTGATCCAAAAAGTCCATTCCTAAGAAAGAGGAATAAAAACATTCATAGTAACATCATTTACAATAGGATGAAATAGAGCAGTTGAGTGTCTACTAGCTGAGGAACTTTGCATAAACAGGATATGCTGTACCCTTACAATGCAGTACTACTGGGGAATAAACAGGAAAAAGAACTGACACATATCACACAGCCCAGATGAATTTTAAAACTTCATGCTAAGTGGCTAATCGCAGAAAGCCACACATCTTACCATTACATTCAAATGCAATGTCTAGAACAGGCAGATCCTCTGAGACAGAAGATTAGTGGGTAACAGGGCGGGGAGAATGGAGAGCTAGGGAGACCGCAGTGGGTACATGGATTTGTCTAGCACGATCAAGGCCCTAGGTTTAACCCCCAGAACAGCACAAAGGGTGACTTTTATAGTATATTGCTAATGATAGAAGAACAAAGTAAAAGAAATACAAAGAGATTTCTCATTCTTAAGAGTGAGAATCTGACTTTAAGCCTGTCCTTTCTTTCGAGACATTCTTACTGGACAGTCAGCAATGAACTCATGACAGCACTGTTCTTAGCTTAAACAAGTCACCCTCCCCCATGCTTACTGGGGTGCCTGAAGCATACTGGGCAGCTGTGGAAGCAGGAAATCTGGTTGGGGAAATGCAGTTTCAAATCAGTGAGTACACCTGGTCCACTATTTGCAGTCACGTTAAGAATATTTCAGGATTTTCTTAAAAGTTGAAAATTCTTATCAAAGGATGGCTAAAAACAGTGGCTAGAAGAGTCTGTTACACATGATAAACACAGCAAGAAGCAAAGCCTACTTGATTCCCTTTATGAATGACAGTATTTAAGTATGCAGAAAATATGAATCTGTAAAAACTGCAGAGTGAAAACTAGTTACTTCCTTACATCATTAAAAAAAAAACTTCTGGGTTATTAACATCAAGTACTTTTATAAAGAAAACTGTAAATAACCTGACATTACCTAAGACACAGCAAAATGTCTACTGTGCACCAACATTAATAAGCGAGTTATTTGGTCTGTATCAAACGTGTTTAGACTTAATTAAACTCAAACCTGCATCTCTGTGAGAAATGAGATGAAATCTACAGGTTGTAGAACATATACTTACCACACAAACATGATAAAATATATCCTAGTCCAAAGTAAAAACAAGCAAACAAGTGTAGCCACTTGAAGTTTTAAATTACAAGTAGCTGGTTAAGTATTAGTTTACGATCCAAGTAATATACAAATGTCAATGATACTTTTGTTAAATCAGTGAAAAAGAAATAACCATGGCCAGGCGTGGTGGCACACACCTTTGATCTTAGTGTTAGGGAGGCAAGAGGCAGGCGGATCTCTGTGAGTTTGAGGCCAGCCTGGTCTACATAGCTAGTTCCAGGCCAGCTGGTGCTACAGGGAGACACTGCCTCAGAAAAAAAGTAAAGAAAAGAAAAACCAAACCTGCTTCATAGCTTCCACTCGCTTGTTGAGAGCTGTGGTCTGCTCAATGAGAGACTCGGCGGCATCATCATGATCTCTCAATCTTTCCACCAGGGCTTTAGCATCAGCAAGCGCCTTCTCAATTGTGCAGCTCATTTCTAAGGGAAAACCAATAATTAAAATCAAGACTTAAAGTTGACAGATCACCTTATTTTGGTTCTACACCAGCAAAGACAGAATTCTCAAGCTTTATTTGCTTTAAGATTGTGGTTGTGTAGATATGTATGCACACACATGTGGAGGCCAGAGGTCAACACAGGTCGATATCTCCCTCAATTTCTCTCCACCTTGCTTTTTGACACAGGGTTGCTCACTGAACCTGGAGCTCACTGATTCAGCTAGGCTAGCTAGCCAGCAAGTTCCAGGGATCTACCTGTCTTTGCCTCCTCAGCACTGAGATCACGGGCATGCACAACCGTGTTGGGCTTGTTATATGGGTGCTGAGGACCCTTGTGCTTGTACAGCAAGCACTTTATTGACTGAGCTATCTCCCCAGCCCCCCAGTTTCTTAACAGCTACAAAAACTTAACATACCCAACAATTCTGCTCCTAAAAAACCATACTTAAATACTGCACGAGAAGACACACTCAGGAAACTCATAGAGACACTGTTTGTAATGGCCCTGAGCTGGGAACCACACACTGGTCCATCAGGATAAAACCATCTAGGAGGGCTAAAGATGTAGCTCAGTGGTAGAGGCTTGTGTAACATGTACAATGCCCCAAGTTCAGTCCCCAGCACCACTGCTCCCCCCGCCCCCGACAGCTTTTGAAGCCAGGCATAGAACATGCCTGTAATTCCAGAACCCAGAAGGTAAAGACAAGAGGATCAGAGGTTCAAGATCGTCCTGCACTACAGATCAAATTTGGTCAGTCTGTGCTAGACCCTGTCTCAACAAACAGAAACAATAAAAAGGTTTTGGCCTTCTCTGTTAAAAAAAAAAAAAAAGATGGCTAGTTAGAGAGGGAAAAGGGAAAAGCATTTGCAAATACTTGTGGTATTGCTTGCTGAGATGATAAAAGTTTATGTGTTTATGTGCCAGTCTGACTGTAAGAACTCCTTAGCCCTCCTTAGTCAGGTGACCTGACACTGCTTACACTGCTGACCAGCTAAGATGGCTTCTGTGTGTTTTGCCAAAGTCTCAACCTCCTCTTGGAGGAGCTTCTTAAAGTTGTATTACCATCCTAACTCTGTACTTCCCTCAGTGGAGAGGAAAAGTTTCCATGCAGAACAACGTTGGCTATTATGAGAAACTTTCCATATGCTGAAGAAGAGCTAAAAGGGATTTCAGGATGGCTAAATGGAGAGGGACCTAACATTCACCTTTTTTCTCCACAAAGAACCCAAAGTAGCCAGTGCACAGCTGCATTCTGAGGCAAGTCACTAAGGGCAACAATGGAAAGCAGCGTTGAGAGCCTTGTGAGAGTCACTGACCTGGGACTACAGCGCAGTCACACAAACAATGCCTGGAGACTCGCCACATGGGCTCCACAACCAGGAGAGGCAAAGCCTCCCCTGCACAAGGCAGGGGTGAAAGTGAGCCAGAGAGTTATCGGTATGGGTCCTGGCAAGCCTAGCTGCCGGCCAGTACACAGCACCCTCAGGGTGGTTACAACCCGTTCTCAACTCCAGTTCTGGGAGATCTGGTGCCCTTTTTGTCTCTGAGGGCACTACACACATGTGGTACATCTACATACACACAGGTACACTCATAAAGATAAAATAAAAATAATAAAATTGTTTTTAAAAAAAGAAATGGAGGGCTGGAGAGACAGCTCAGCGTTTAAGAACACAGGCTGTTCTTGCAGAAGACCCGGGTTCAAATCCTAGCACCCACATGGCAGCTAACTGTCCATAACTCCATTTCCAGGGGCTCTGACAATCTCTTCTGTCCTCCACAGGCATTGCAGGACATATGTGCACTTACCTACATGCAGGCAATACACACATACACATAAAATAAAAATAAATTTAAAAAAATTAAAAAAACACAAATGGAATAATGTATCCCAAATCCTGAGAAAAAAAAATAACTGCTGGCTAAGATTATGATATCCTTAAGCAAAGAAGGAAGAAATAAAGATCTTTCAGGGTAAGCAAAACTGAGGGATTTCCTGACTATCATATCAGAAGAAGCTCATTAAGGGAGTCTTCCATCCACAAGTGAAAGACAACTACCATCCTAACAGTGAAAAAAAGTATAGATCCCACTAGAAGAGTAAATAAACAAAACAGATACAGAAAAGAATCAAACACCTGTACAATAAACCAACCAAACCACAGAGATAGATAAATGAACCAAGAATATTCAAAACTAGCAGTAAACAAAACGATACCAGATCATCACTTTCATTAATAAAGCGGAATGTAAATAATCTCGGTTCTCTAACACACACAGACTGCTTGAATGGAACAAAAGAAAAGATCCAGTATGAGTACTGGGTCATAGAGAGAGAGACCGACCCAGAAAGATGGGAAGGAAGGGTGGAAAACCATGCTTCGAGCAGACGAAACTCAAAGGAAGGAGCAGTTACACTGGCCGAACAGACGTGAAAGTCACTAGATACAGATGAAGAACTGACGCACCAAGAAGACAGGACTGTACAACAACGTATACCTAATGTACGAACACCCAATTTTATAAAGTAAACACTATTATACCTAAAGGGAGAAACAGGCTCAATACAATCATCCTGGAGGATTTCAGGACCACTCACTGATGGGCAGATTATTCAGACCCCCCCAAAGCACCAAAGAAACGCCCGAGTTAAAGCGCACCGTCGATCAGGGGGACCTAATGGAAATCCACAGTGCCCATCTAGACATTCTTCCATCAGCTCATGGGATTTTCTCTAGAACAGACCATATATTAGAACACAAAGTTGGGGGTTGGAGAGATGGCTCAGCAGTTAGGAAAGCTAGATGTTCTTGCAGAAGACCTGGGTTCGAATCCCAGCACCCACATGGCAGCTAACAACTATCTGTAACTCCATTTCCAGGGGATCTGATACCTTCTTCTGTCCACTGTGGGCATTGCACAACATGGGTGCACTTACATACATGCAAGAAACACACACATACACATATAATAAAAATTTAAAAAATCCTTAAAAAGTACTCAACAACCCCAAAGGAGAAAAGGTTTTGAAAGAAAAGGACAAGGAAAGAACAGAAGCGAATTGTAAGAGGGTAACCCTAAGGTCAAACACTACCAACTACACTAAGCATACATGCTCTGCACATACCAAGCTGCATTTCTAGAAGTCATGCTGCCTCCACTGAGGATGTCACACGACCCTTCCAGCACCTGCAGGTGGCTCACCTGCCAGCCCAAATGGCAACTATTTTTTAAAATTTATGTTTTTTCTTTAATGTCGTGCAATGATCTATAGAGGCGGAAGAGGGTGTCAGATCTTCTGGAACTAGAGATACGAACAGATGTTAGCCACTATGTGGGTGCTGGAACTTGGACCGGGTCCTCTGGAAAAACAGCAAGTGTCCTTAACCACTGAACCATCTCTCCAGCCTGCAAATGGCAACTACTGCACCTGGTGTGGCTGTAAGCTCACTGTTAGGCAGGCACACGCTGGGCTATCTTGGGAACCTTCAGGGGGAAGTGGTAATGTTGAGTTCTCAAAGCCTAAACATCACTTATTAGAAACCTAGGAGAACCTGGCAGCCATCGCAGCAGTATCTGGTGGCCCTAGCTTTTATGACATAAAATATTTTTTGAGTGTGCCCAGAACCAGGGGGACCTTAAGCTCTGTGAGCATTTCAGTGAGGTGCTGATCAGGACACACTTGCAAACAGATTAATGCAAACAAGTTCAAGCTGAAGAAATGGATGACAAACTCTGATGACCAGCATAAAAATGCAATGATAATGACAGTATAAAGCCCACACTGTAAGCTTCATGTCATGCTTGCTTTGCTGCTTCACTGAGATGGTACAGCATTTGGGGTGTACACAGCTGCATGGCTTCCTTATGTTATTATCGTATAATACTGTTATTTGTAGTTAACTTGAAATAAAGTGATATTCTTCAAAAAAGCACTTTTGTTAAGATGAAAATGGGAGCTGTGGGTGGGGCTCGGTGGTGGGCTGCATGCTCTGCAGGTGTGAGGCCTAGGAAATGGCCGCAGCATCCCCATCAAAAAAGTTGAAGACTTCTTTTTAATCACCAGAAATTTTGTCACAGCAGTGGAGAAACAAACTAGCACACATGTCAAAAGTAAAAGAAGAGCCAGGCGTGGTGGCCCATGACTGTAATCCCAGCACCCAAGAGGCTGAGGTAGGGGATCAAGAGATCTGAGTAGCCAGAGGTTCTGCAATGAGACCTCATCTCTACTGCTACGCCCCTAAAGAACAAAGGACATCTTTTTGGACCTCTAATTCATTCTAAGCCAAAGTGAATAGACTAATAAACCCCCACACATGAATTAGATAAGTTAGATTAAATGGATTAATTCCTCAAAACCCACAAATGACAGTCATGTAAAAAGAAATACTAATAATCCTGTATTTAGTAGCTCTAGCTGCTGGAGTTACACAACTAAACTCCCACAGCTGTCCTAGAATGAGTCACAACTAGTGAAGAGAGTGGAGTTAGAAATATCCAGAAAAACAGAAACAAAAAACTCCATACCCAGAGCCTCAATGGCCTATTCTAAAACACAGTGAAAGGAAAAATAAAGCAGTCTGTATCCAGCATGTCTGCCCATACCTTTAATCCTAGCACTTAGGGGACAGAGACAGAAGGACTTCAGCAAGCTCTTGGGTTAGCCTGGTCCCCAAAACAAAGCCTCACAAAAGCCACTAAACCAAGAGTATTATACAATCTGTTTAAGAAAATAGGAATACTTTGAATCTCATAAAGCAAATTCAGCATTAAAATGGTTCAGTGTTACTGATACCAAAACCACATAAAAGGAATAGATAAAAAACAAACCACAGCACAATATCCTTCATGAATGGAACATAAAGACTGAATACTTTCCTAAAATTAGAACATGGTAATGACGTCCAAGTCTTGTTTAATTTACCAGAGCAGTGCAGTAAGGCTGGGGGACTATCAACTGCGATACATACAAGAAAACTGTTCTACTTGTAGTCAGGGCTGTCCACAGAGAAAACCCCAAGGAACAAGAAACTTTCTACTATACACAATTTTAGCATTGCCACAGGATACCAGTATAAGAACACCTGCCCATAAGCTAGAAACGGAAATTTGGAAACAGAATTAAATACACGTGAATTAGATAATTTATATTAAATAGGCTGATTCCTCAAAACCCACCAAATGGCACAAGAAAAAAATGAATAAAGGTCCTACACCTATTTACAACAGTGACATTTACAATAAAAATAAGTCAAATGAAATTCTTGGGCATAAATGAAACAAAATATATGTAGGATCTGTACGTTGATAACCACAAAATCTAATAAAAACAAAACGGGATCTAAGCAAGTGAGAAAAATACTATGTTCAAGGGTTACAAGACTCAACAGAGTGAAGACAAGAGTTTCCACAGCTGACTGAATTAATGGAGTACAATCCAAATGGTGCCAGGATAGCCCCAGGGTAGGTTGTTTTTTTCTTTTTTCAGAAACTGACAAGATAATTCTAAAATTAGTATAGAAAGCAGAGAAACTAGAATAGCTGAAATAATTTTGAAAACCAAATTGGAGAAATCACGCTGTCCAATTTAAGACCCACTTGATATACAGCTGTAATAATCCAGACCGTTCTGACCTTGGCAGAGCGAACAGATCAGAAATAGGCCCTAGGAATGTGACCACTTATTTCTGAAATTGTGGAAAGCAGCAAGGCCTGTGCCACAAGCCTGCAGTCCAAGCACTGGAGAGGTTGAGCCAGGCGGCTCATTTCAAGTTTGGGACTAGCCTGAGCTACACAGTGAGTTCAAGGCCAGCCTGAGCTACACATACTGGTGGGCTGGCTCAGCATTTAAGAGTCTACTGTTTAATCATGAGGACAAGAACTCAGATTCCAGGATCCATGTCAGGTGGCATACAGACGTCTGTACCTGCAGCTCCAAAGGATCTGAGGCCCTCGTGGAACCACCCCCACATATTCGTATACTCAGACACATGGACACACACATAAAAGGAGAAGTTAATTTTTAATCAACGAATATACGGGAAGAACTGGACATCTATATGCCAGAAAACTTTATCTCAACTAACAGTTTATATGAGCTTATCTCAAAACCGAACACAAATTTAAATATAAATGAAAAATGGTAATGCTTTTATAAGAAAAAAATGACAATCTCTGTAACCTAAAGTTTTGGCATGACACCAAGAGTATGAAACTTTAAAACCCTGATAAATGAGGCTTCATACAAAGTATAAACTGGGTCTGGGAAGGACACTGTTAAATAGTCCTGAGAAGACAAACCACAGGCTGGGAGAATATTTCTAAATATACATCTGTCCAAGCAGGTGTCTACAAAAATTGTCAAAAGTAACAAAAAGAAAAGTCTAATTTTTAAAAATGACCAAAAGACTTTAATACTTACTGAAAAGATACATGGACGGCAAAAAAGCACATGAGATGTTTAAGATGACTAAAGAGCCAGGTGTGGTGACATACACCTTTAGTTCTAGCACTTGGGAGGCAGAGGCAGGCAGATCTCTGTGAGTTCCAGGCCAGCCTGGTCTACATAGTGAGTTCCAGGCTAGCTAAGGCTACAGGGAAACCCTGTCTCAAAAAAAAAAAAAAAAAAGGCAATGAGGGGCTGGAGAGACGGCTCAGTGGTTAAAGCACTGGTTGCTCTTGCAGAGGACCTGGGTTTGGTTCCCAGCACTCACATGGCAGCTAACAAACATCTGTAATTCCAGGTCCAGGGGAATCTGACATTCTGACACCCTTTCTGACTTCTACAGGCACTGCACAACACAGGTGCACTTACATTCATGCAGGCAAAACACTCATACACATAAAATTTGAAAAGAAATGTAATTAAATCAGTGATGATGACCATCAGAACCCTACTAAAGTGTCTATACTTACCTATCTCTACACCAACCCCATGCTGCCTCAGTCTTAACAGCTGTAAAACACCCTTGCTATGTGATTCAGAAGTCTGTTTTCGTCTTCAAAATTGCTTTTCCTGTTTTTGCCCCTCTCCCATTTAATTCAACCCAAGTAACCTCTAGAGTATTCTAGAGTAAAAACCAAACTAGTAGGTAATTTAAAAAATATTATTACGTTTGCTTATTTATTTAGAGGGGCAGCAGCGAGCACATGCGATGTACATGTGTGGAGGTCGGTGGTTAACTTGCAGAAGTCGAGTCTCTCCTTCCACTATTCTGGTTCCAGGGATCAAACTTGGGTCATCAGCCCTGGCAATGAGCCTTTACCTACTGAGCCATGTTATAAGCCCAATACTTTTAATGAATTCGAAGTGGTAGCTTTCTGAGCCTAGGAGGACCACCTCCTGCTGCCATTTAGCCAACAGGACAGTGTTATTCCTTTTCTCCAATGAGAAAATAGATTTCAAATACAAGGAGCCAAGACACTGCCAAGTGAGTACGAGAAACAGAGCTTCCTGCCCACTCTGGCCTTCAGTCTGTGCCAAGCTGGACCCCAGGACCCTATCTGCGTCTTCCAATATAAAAACTACCTTGATCTCCCAAGAGAGAAAAAGCAAATTCCCTGACGGTCTTAGTTTGTTCTTTATTGCTGTGACAAAACACTCTGACCAGTACCAACTTGGGGAGGAAATGGTTTATTTGTCTTACATCTCCCAGGTCGCAGTTCATAAGGGAGCCCAAGGTAGGAGCTCAGGGCAGGAACCCGGAGGCAGGAGCTGGAGCACAGGCCATGGAGGAACGCTGCTTACTGGCTTGCTCCCCTGGCCCCTGCTCAGCCTGCTTTCTTATGCAACACAGGCCCACCTGCCCAGGGGTGGCACCACCCACAGTGGGCTGGGTCCTCCCACATCACTCATCAAGAAGATGCCCCACAGACATGGCCACAGGCCAGTCCAATAGAGGCAATTCCCCGATTGAGGCTCCCTCAACCCAGGTGTGTCAAGTTGACACTAAAGCTATCCAGCACACTGACGCTACACAAGTGGAACTTTCAAGAGATTTATAATTTCTTCTCATTTCATGCCAGCAAAGGGGACAGGTGGGCATGGAAATGAAGAACGGTTATAAAAACAACAGAATTTTAAACATCTTTTCACAAAACAATAAAAGCCTAGCACTATTTAGGCACACTCTCAATGAGGCAATGACTGTGTATGGTAGGCTTTTGAAAACTGTAAGAGCTACTTTATAACGCTGTCTAGGCTGCACCAGGGAAGCACTGCCCAAATGAACCACCAGTATAAAAACCCATAGGAGTTATACATAGACACTCGACACGTAATTGTATTAGCATTTCAGAAAAACAGTGACACGGTTTCTAAGAATCTGTGTACTCATTTCCTGTTTGCAAAAACCACAGAATGCTCAGAGTATTTTATAATCGGAATTTGTTTTGCTGTCCTTTTGAAAGATGCTTTCCTACTTTTTTTGACTAGTAAGTAAAGCACGCCAAGTACTGTTCTCCAAACTCTCCAATACAGTTCAAATTTTAGACTCCAGAAAAACGAGTACTTTAAGTCTAGCTGCCGATTTTCAGAGTGCCTGTCTTAACTAGTGACACACACGCTGCTTTATACGCTCAAACTGCAGGGGCATGTTCTGAAGAGACAGGCTCGCTTGCTTCCTGCGTCCTGCACCTAGCAGCTTTCTACCCACTCTTCCACTAAGACACCCAGTGGTAAGACTCCTGCAGATGCTTCAAAACAGCCTCTTCTGATTCAAGAGAAACCACCACCCACTGAGAAAGGCAACTGCCAGCTCTTTACTTTTAGCTTTTAGTCAAGAGAAAAATTTTACTTTTCTCCAAGCTGAACATACTTTATCAAGAAAGTGAATTTTTTGAAGCTGAAAGGCACACAATTTAGGAAAAAAGAAGCTGGTAAATCCAAAACAATTACACGTTCCGCTAGAATGAGGGCTAAGGTAAAATAAGGTTTAGACAGGGTAGGATGCCGGACGACATGCTCACGTTAGAACTGCATTCCGCTGGCAGCACTGTTGCAACAAGCTGGGACGGCAGATGCGGCATTTGGGAGGAACTCTAGGAGGCGGTTAGGGTTAGGGACGGTGGGGAAGCCAGTTTGGGCCGGGGAAAGGGCAACTGGAGCAGTCTGGTCAAAGGAAGAAGAGCGCAGCAGTGGCAAACTTTGTCCGTGGTAGGGACAGCAAGACAGACACGAACTGTGTTCCAGGATGGACAGAAGGAAACGGGCGAAGTCCTGAGCAGACCCCAACAGACGATGATCAGATGAAATCATCTGACACGTGAGGGGCTGGGGACCTGGATCAGCGTAAGGGGAAGGGGTTGCTCGTGCAGAGGACCAGGGTTCAGTTCCCAGCACCCACTAGGCAGCTAACAACCGTCCACAACTCCAGTTCCAGGGGATCCGACAGCCTCTTCTGACCTCTGCCGGCATTGCAGGACACGGGTGCACTTCCCTACAAGCAGACGATACACTCATACACATAAGATAAAAACAGTAAACAAAATATTACAAAAAAGAATTCCTTATCAATACAACATAAAAACAAGTATCTTTCCTTCTTTTGAGCCGTGGCTGGCCCAGGCTTCAGGAACTGGAAACAAGCATGTTCACATACATGACTACCTGAGATGCAGGAACGCGCGCACAGACGTGGGGCCCCGGGAACTAGAAACAAGCATGTGAACATACATGACCACTTGAGGCGCAGGAATGCGCGCACGGGCCCCGGGGACTGGACACAAGCATGTAAGCATGTGAACACACAAGACTACCTGAGATGGAGGAATGCGCACAGACACTGCCCGGGGCAGCAGCCCTCTGGACCTGACCTGAGGTTGGACGAAGTGCGCGGGCGCAGCGTAGCACCGCCCGGGGACCAGGCCCTCCCTACGCCGCGGCTACATGCAGTCCCGCCCGGGCCGAGTCGGCCCCCGCGCCCGTACCTGCGGCTCCGGGACTCGCGCGCGCGCGGCCTGTTCCGTCTCCGCAGCAGCGGCCGCACAGGCGGATCAGGCCCCCGGGCCGGTCACTGCGCCGAGCGCTCGGTGCGCGGTCGCCACAGTCGCCCGACGCTCAGCAGCCCGTGTGCCAGGGCCCCATCCCTGCCACCGCCGCCCAGCGCTCTCCGCTCTCTGCCGCCCACCGGCGCGCCCTCAGAGCTACGTCTCGCGATACTTCACGCTGCGCGTTCCTGTGGGGACGGGCCAGCCGCTCACTGCTGATTGGTGGGAAAGCTGGGGCGGTGCTTTCTGGGACTCCTCCCTCCTCGCCCTCCTCTTTCAAAGTCTCGCGTGGTTTCGAGCGGCACAGGGCGGGGGAGGAAGACAAAGCGGAGTGGGCGGGCTCTGTCCTGTGGGGCCGGCCGTCCGCTCGCCGCTGTTTGGATGGAGGGCTGGGGCGTGGCCTCACGAGACTCCTCCCTCCCTCGCCGGCCTCTCGCAAAATCTCGCGTGGTTTCGAGAGTGCGCGCCTGGGAGGAAGACCGAGCTGGGGAGCGGGCAGGCTGTAGTCCTGGGGGACCGAGGCCGGCGTAGCCGGGCCGTGCTTAGTACTTCGCTTTGGGGATTCTCTTAGCCATTCCCAGTCGGTGACTGGGAACACTTACGCTAGACAGTCTCCAGGGGTTGGCGGTGTTTCCCCCCCCCCCAGTAGCTCCGCCCTCTTCCGGTTCGGCCTCTGGCGTGTCGGCGTAAGGGAAGATGGCGGGGCTGGGGACGAGCGAGGTGCACATGCGCGTGAGCCACAGTGCCTGTGTGCGTGTCCGCGCATGCGCGCGCTCCTGCATCTAGGAAGCCGGTGTGCTGGGCGATGAGTGGGGCGCTCGCGGTGCTCCGCCCGTGGTACCCGACCCGGACTGTGCCCCGACGACCCTCGCGCCCTCAGCATCCTCCGTTACCTGCAGGACCAGGCACGAAAGTAAGCGAACGTGGCCCAGAGTGCGTCCCTGTGCACCCACCTTGCACTCCTTGCACACCCCCTCCAGCGGAGTGTGTCCAGATGGCTGCTCCCAGGGACTGCGCCTGCAGGGGAGATGCTCAGAGCCGCGAAGTAGCGGGACCCTGAGCTGGACTCCCTGGGCTTGTAGAGGGTGCGTTTGTGTCTGTTGAGTGCGAGGCAGGGACTGGACCACATAGGCTGCTTGGTCTAAGAAGTTGCAGAAGTTTCCTCCTCGCCTGCGTGGGTATAGCCTGTTGTGTTCTGCTTGATGAGTTACCGTGGGGTACGAACGGTGAGGGGGCTGAGACGTTGGGCTCCAGGGCGAGACCCGAGGTGCAGCGACCTTGTATGGTTGTTAGGTTTGAGTTTGTACTTCAGCTGTCAAGCCTTTTCCTGTGACTTCCCTCAGTTCCTAGCAAGGATCAGCAAAAGTGTATTTGAGGAATTGATGTGTGATCTATGTAAGGAAACCAAATACAAATTACGCACAAATGTTTTATATTTTAAGTTCTTTTAAACTTATTTTTGTTACGTGGGTGTTTTTGCCTGCATGTATGTATGTGTGCGGGTGTCATGCAGTGCTCAGAGAGGACAGAAGAAGGCATCAGATTCCCTGGAACTGGAGTTAAGATGGTTGTTGGTGCTGGGAACTGAACCCAGGTCCTCTGCAATAGCAGCCAGTGCTCTTAACTGCTGAGCCAGCTCTCCAGCCCTTATTTTAAGTTCTTTGAAAAAGAAGAACGTATGGACTCACTTTGTCTGCAAAGTGACTGCATAGTATGATGCAGCTCGGCTCTTGAACTGACACAGTTACCTTGTTTTTTGCTGCACAGATACCTCGGAACATTCATGCTTCCTACCGGATCTTGAGGAAAACGCACATAAATGAGAAATCATTTAAGGTGTCAAATGTTGTGTATCAGCTTTTCACTAGTGTGTTTATTCTTTTACAGGTTAGAACAAAATGAAGATTTTTTCTGAATCTCATAAAACCGTGTTCGTCGTGGACCACTGCCCGTACATGGCAGAGTCATGCAGACAGCATGTGGAGTTTGACATGCTGGTGAAGAACAGGACCCAAGGCATCATCCCGCTGGCTCCCATCTCTAAGTCCTTGTGGACTTGCTCAGTGGAGTCGTCCATGGAGTACTGCAGAATAATGTATGACATATTTCCTCTCAAGAAGCTGGTGAGTAGTTATTGGGAACAAAAACAGCATTGGGAGGGGTATACTGAGCTGTGCAATTAGCTGTGTGAATGTGCTGTATAGATTTGACTTATAACTGTTTGCTTACAAATGTGCATGGAACTGCCCTTTAGAATTAATATATTATGAGTATTTAATTAGGACCAATAGTAATAATGGCTAATAATTACTGAGTGTTTGCAAGTTCCAGGCATTTTCCAAAGTGCTGTACATTACTGGCTTCTCCAGTTCTAGCAGTCCTTCAGGGGAGTGCTGCAGGCGTTAGGCCGTGTCCACGTGTAGCAAACTGTGGAGTGGGGGGGCTGAGGACAGTTGGTGCCTCTAGAGGAGGGATGCTGAGTATGCAGTTTGTTGGCTTGTGCTGATATGTCCAAGTTGAGTACAGTCTTGTTGCTTGCCACCGTGTTTGTTGATGCAGGAACTGAGGTAAAGAAACCTACCGTAGGCTACATAGTTAGAGCCAGAATCTGCACCTAAGCAGTCTGGCTGTTTGCAACTTTAGTGACTATATCCTGAGCTTTCCTAAGATTTGGCAGTCTTGGGGGCTGGAGAGATGGCTCAGTGGTTAAGAGCACTGACTGCTCTTTCAGAGGCATCAGGTTCGATTCCCAGCACCCACATGGCAACTAACAACCATCTGTAACTCCAGTTCCAGGAATCCAACGACTTCTGACCTCTGTGGACATTGCATGACGGTTGCACTTACACACCTGCAGGCAATACATACTCATACACATAAAATAATAATAATAAATATACCTAAAAAGACTTAGCTGTCTTGAAAATGTATGCTGAGTGATGGCTAGGGCCAAGACCATGCTGAGTGTGCATGAAGGCCTGGGCTCCATCCCCAGGAACACTCAAACACAAACTAAGTTGGTTCTCATAGTTAGAAGAGAAATTGATGATTGATAGGAACTCCAACTATTAAAGTTGTGTTTAGGTTTCAGTATCTTGGATGTTCTGAGTCAGAGAAGTCATTTGATCAGCGAGTAGATGGCTCACAGTCTGCCCTCCTTGCAGCCCCCGCTGGCACCTGGCCATTAGACTGCCAGAGGTCCTTCCTGTTGTTATCAGTATACCTGATAGGCTTTTGTTTTGTTTTTGTTGTGTTTTTTGTGGTGCTGGGGATCAAACCCGACTGTGTGTGCATGCTAAGAAGCACGATGCTAAGCTGTACATCCATCCCTTACACTGTTTCTTTTACTTGTATTTTATTAAAATAGAATGTAGTCCATGTCAATTTTTGGCTTTCAGTGCTCTTTAGAGAGACCTACTGCCTGTTTCCTTAGGCCTGTCTCCAGCCCCGTGCTTGCTCTGAGCTTTGCCTTTTTGAGGGTACACTTAAAGGCCTTTGCCTTTGCTATTTGCTGTACCTGAAACTGTCTATCCCTTGTTTTCAGTACCAGGTTCCTTTCGTCAACTTGGAGTTGCCAGAGTTGCTGCTTCTGTTGAGGCCTGTCTTTGACTCCCCACAGTAGAGTAGCTAACCAAGTTGTTTTTCATAATTTGTTATTCTCTGAAATGGTGGCGTTCATTTATTTGCCTGTGTTCTTCCTATACTGCCTGGGTGTCCTGCACATTGTAGCAAGACTCAGTACCAGAATAGCACTTGCGTGCTCTAGGCTTTCTAGAACTGTTAAACGAATGAATCCGACAGTTGTGAGTATAGGAACTGCACAGTATTTTACAGTACAGTCATGACTGAATGAAATTAGAGTGGAAGAGTTGAATTCTAATTGTGTCTTTGGCACCTGTTAGGTGAATTTCATTGTGAGTGACTCTGGAGCACACATTTTAAATTCATGGACTCAAGAAGACCAGAACTTACAGGAGGTAGGTTAGGCTTGAACTGTGCCTATTGAAATGTGAAATACTTCGTAAAAATTATTAAAATCCAGGTAATGGGGCTGGAGAGGTGGCTCAGTGGTTAAGGACATTGGCTACTCTTGCAGAGGACCCGGGTTCAGTTCCTAGCACCCACATGGTAGCTAACAACCAGGAGATCTGAGGCCTTCTTCCTGATCTCTGTGGGCTTTGTGTGCGTGCACGCCTGTGGTGGACTTACATACATCCAGGCAAAACACACATAAAATAGATACTAAATCAAAAAATTTAAAAATCCAGGTAGTGTCTGCACATAGTTTTAAAATCCCAAATTGTATCAAAAAAAAAGCAGCTGCTTTCTCCCAGCCCCTCCCTCACCGGTAAGCAGAGCTCAGCCGTAGTTTCTGGCCTTTACTGCCGTATTAAGTATAATTTCTACATGGCATGTTTTACTTCCATTTATTGTGTTTGTAATTTAAACTCTTTTGCTTTGTTAGTGACGGTCTCGCTTTATACCCCTCACCCATGCCTTTCCCTTGGCTTTATACCCTCACCCATGCCTTTCCCTTGGCTTTTCTAAGTTGTTTTACCAGAATTTTTGGTTTGTTCAGAATTCCATATTTGCATTATAACGTCCACAAAAGCGTTGGCTACTGCTTTACCGAGTGTTGTTTGTGTTTATTTGTACAGAATTCTATTTGTGGAATTGGTCATTCCCTTTTCCCTGTGCTTGCTTGTTACGCATGTCTTCAAAGCTTCTCGGGACTTTTTATCTTGAATGTCAGATAATTTAGCTGTTTGGCTTTTTAAACCCTTGTAAAGAACTTCCCAGGGACATAGTCTGAAGAGGCTGCCCAACAGCAGTCCTCTATTCTCACGTCGCACTGTTTTCTCCTTCCTGTGGAACAGTTTGTTTTGGTACAGTATTACCTCCACACTTCATGGAACTTCCGGTACTCTCTGTTGGTCTTTTGAGTATAGAAATTCTTTGTTGGAGGCCACTCTTCCTCAAAGTTGTGAGGGCCTCACCCCACTGTGTTTCTGCTTCGCTGTTTCTGTTGAAGAAATCCAGTATCATTTTTCTTCATAATTTCCAAAAGCTTTGTTTGTTTTAAGACAGGGTCTCCCTGTAGCCCTAGCTGGTTTGGAATTCACTGTGTAGACCAGGCTGGCCTTGATCTCACAAATCTGCTTGCCTCTACCTCCCAAGTGCTAGGAATAAAGGTGTGCACCACCACGCCCAACCAAGAATCTATTCTTTCCTCATTTGTTTGAAAAATTTCAGTGCTGTGCTCAGTGGGTCTTTTTTCATTTGTTGGGTTGAGCCTTAGAGTCTTGAGTTCAAGAAAATGTCTGTCCTGTCTGTGGCTTACTGAGCATCTGAAGCATGGCCAGGGCCATGGAGGAACCGGTTTATGCTCAGTAAGACACACTTAGGCTGTGACTACTTACGGGACAACATGGATAGAGAGCCCAGCATTGCAGAGATCTGTGCTGAGCAGAGAGCCATGCTGGGCAGGACTGGTCCAGCATCGTGCCCTCCCTCTCTGCCCTGCCCAGCTCTGCTCTGAGGCAGGTGAGCATGGCACTTGTCTGGCTGTTTTTCAGTAAAGTAATGTGATTCTGTGTCTGGGGTCACCAGGGTAGCTGGCTAGGGTCTGAGAGTTAAAGTGGGCTGTGCATCAGCTTTAGGCTATTTGTAAGTTTTCAGCTTCTGCCTCATCTCCGCTTCGTGTCATGCTTGGTGCCTCCAGGTCTCAGACTTCTCTTAGGTCCTGTGGGCCGTGTCGTCCTCACACCGCCTTTCACTTGTGAACGTTGTTGGTGTTCCTTTCCTTGTTAGCTTTTGTCTCCTTTTCATCTGTGGGTTTCATACCTTTTTTTTGGTGGTGGTAGACGTGGGGGAAGAGTCCTGAGGACTTCGGGCCTCAAAAGTGCCAAACAAGACCGCCACGAGCTCCATGCTCTCTGTAGTCTTGCCAGGCCTTGAATTTATGATTCTTCTGCCTCAGCCTCCCATGTAGCTAGAGTTACATGTCTGCTCCATCAGGCCTGGTGGGTTCATGCTTGTTAAAAAGTGCTGCGGTCTTAGTGGAGGGAGCTTGTGGCCTGTCATTAGGAATGTTGAGTTGGCAGTAGCGTGTGTCTTCTGCTGTTTAGTTGGACAAAAGATGTCGGTCTGCTAGGCTCCTTGCTGACAACAGGAACAATGTAAGAGAAAGGAGCTGATACCGGAACGCACTGTTTGAGTTAGTGCATTCAGAATGTTCTGTTAATGCTCCTCAATGGAAGTGACCCATTCTGAGGTGAGGTGTAGAAGATACTTTAAGAAAATGTGTTTAGCACAGTGGTTGGTCATAAAATACTTGCGATTAGGTTTTCTCTTTGAGACAGGGTCTCCCTGTAGCCCCAACTGTCCTGGAACTCACTATGTAGACTAGGCTGGCCTTGAACTCATAGAGCTCTGCCTGCCTCTGCCTCCCCAGTGCTGGGAGTAAAGGCGTGCGCCACCACGCCCGGGGTGATTAATATTTTAACCTGTAAGCATATCAAACCTTTTGTTATTTCAAGTCAAGTCACTGAAGGAATAGGTTTAATTTGTTTGGCTCTGAATTTTTACCTCTCCAAAATGGTCCTAATATTTTTCCATTATTTGAGAAAAGTGTGAACTTTCCATAGGCCATCTTTCCTCTGCTACCTTGGAAGTGCGATGACAGCATCATGCGGCCTTTTCTAGCTGTGCTTGAATGCACAATAAGCACGCATTTGTCTGATGTTCCTTACAACACCACTGTGGAGCATCTAATGTAAGCACATGTGAGGGCAGAGGGCAGGTGTGCAGTTGACGCACTTGCTACTTTTACATGGGTTCTAGGGATCGAACTCAGGTTGTCAAGTTTGGCAGACCTGCCTTTACTAGCTGAGCTGTCACCAGCCCTACTCTGGGTTTTATTTGGTGCTGATAATTGAGCCTTGGGCTTCAGGTATGTTAGGCAAGACCTAGCACCCAAGCTGTATCCCCAGCCCTGTGTCTGTTCTGTACTTTGTTTTGTATTAAGTTTTGAAATGGGTTAAAGCTGGTCTTCATCCTTTGTTCTTTGAGATGGTTTGGCTATTCTGGGTCCCTTGCCAGCCCACTGTCAGAATCAGCTTTGTGGGCACCAAGATGCCCACTGAGGTTCTGATAGGAAGTACACTGAACCCGTAGATTATTTGGGTAATAGTGCCATCTTAGTATAAGGGCTTTCAGTCCAGGAACACAGGAAGCTTTTCCATGTATTTAGATCTTTAATTTCTTTTATCAGTGTTTTGTAGTTTCCAGAGTATAAGTTTCTCATTTAAGTCTATTTCTAAGTATTTCTTCTTTTAGGAGTTACTGAAAATTGATTTTTTTTCCTTAGTTTTTGGATTATTCATTATAAATATATATAAATACAGTTAGTTTTGTGTATTGATTTTTCTATCCTACAACTCCACTGAATTAAGTAATTGACAGTCCTGGGAACTGGCCTCATGCTTGGCGAGCACTCTACCACAGGGCTCCAGGTCCTGCCCTCAGTTAACTCTAGTGGCCTTTAGTGGGTTCTTAGGTTCTGTGTGGACAAGCTCATGCCATCCTTGACAGAGATAGCCTCTGGATTCTGTGGGCTTCTTTTTCTCTTAATTGTCCTGACAAGAAGACCTAGTCTGGTGTGAGTAAAATGATGCATGTGGTCCTCCCAGTTTGTATCACCCGTGGACACACCCAGCTTTTGCCCATTAAGCATGAATGCTGTTGGTGGGCTTTCCTGGGTGTCCTTTCTCTATTGAGAAAGTTCCTTTCTGTACCTAGGTCCTTGACTGAATTTTGTTTTGTTTCATTTTTGTTTGGATTTTATCAAAAGCTTTTTCTGTATTTATGAAGATGATTATGTTTGTGTTTATTTGTTGCTTGTTTGGAGACAGGCCCTGAACTCACTATGTAGACCAGGCTGGTTTCAATCCTATAGTGATCTGCCTGCCTCCATCTCCCAAGTGCTGGGGGATTAAAGATGTTTGCTTCATACTTAAACCTGGTTTTTGTTTTTTTACTGGTATCTTTCCTTGTGTTTATTATTATTTTTTATATTGTATCAGCTTTGCATTTCTGACATGATCCTCTGTGGTCGTGGTGTAGAATTCTTCTTTGTGTGCAGCCAGAAGGTTTGCTAGTATTTGTTAAAGGTCTGTGTCCGTATTTTTAAGAGCCATTGGTTTGTAGTTTTCTCGTGTTTTTCTTTTTTGTCTAACTTGTCCTATTTCTTTTCAACATGGTTATTTTTCCTTTTGCTCAGCTAATGGCAGCCCTGGCCACTGTGGGGCCTCCTAACCCTCGGGCCGATCCGGAGTGCTGCAGTATTCTGCACGGTCTTGTTGCAGCAGTGGAAACCCTTTGCAAAATCACCGAGTACCAACACGAGGCTCGAACTGTACTCATGGAGAATGCAGAGCGTGTTGGAAATAGAGGACGGATAATCTGTATTACAAATGCAAAAAGGTGCACTATTAGACATAGGGACTCTTTCCCTGAGGGAATTTCAGTTATGATTATATTTTTTATTATTGAAAAGCAGACGTAGCTTGTAAACATGTAAGTATATTGCTTGTTTGATGTGATGAACTCTCAAGACTAGCTTACCTGGGTGATTTTTTTTTTTTTTTTTTTTTTTTGGTCTTTTTGAGACAGGGTCTCCCTATAGCCCCACCTGGCCTAGAACTCATTATGTAGACCAGGCTAGCCTCAATCTCACAGAGATCCACCTGCTTCTGAGTCGCAAGTGCTGGAACTAAAGGCTTCTGCCTCCTTGCCCCGTATGTTTGCTGAAGTAATTTTAAATGTTGACACCAACATAATGCAGCTGAATAGTGGGAGGTCTTTTTCTGTTTATTTCTATATATTCTTTTAAGTTTGCTCTGTCTTTTTTTATACCATAGTGATAGTCACGTACGAATGCTTGAAGACTGCGTCCAGGAAACAATTCATGAACATAACAAGCTTGCTGCAAATTCAGATCAGTGAGTATTACCCATAAACAAACTCTGTGTGATGTGTACTTTCATTATAATTATTTGCAATGATCTTAATATATTTGATAGCATTTCCTCAAACTCTCCACTGCTTTGACAGATTACTCTAAAGCTCTAAGTTTGGTCAGAAATTCTTTTTCATTTTCCCTTAACTTTAGAATATACTTTTTCCTTATAGGAAAGAAGATCAGAGGGGTTAAAATAATAGATGAATTTTAATGCATGTTTTTGATGGATCGTTCTTATACTTTGTTAGAAAACCTCCAAATTCTAGGTGTCATCATTCGGTATTTGCAATTCAAATTGTTGAAAAAATATTTTATTATTTTTATTTTATGTGTATGAGTGTATTGCTTGCATGTAAGTAGGTGCACCTGTGTCATGCAGGACAATTGTTAGCCACCATGTGGGTGCTGCAAATCAAACTCAGGTCCCCTGCTAGAGCAGCCAGTGCTCTTAAGCACTGAGCCATTTCCCCAGCCCCTTGCCAATTCAAAATTACAGCTCATCGCACCATATGAATTCTTTGAACTAATAGCCGTCGGAAAGCAAAACACTGTCCCTGCTTTCTGCTCCTACCAGCATTTATGGATGGTCAGATGTGTTTCCCAGAGCTACCAGTTCTGCCAGTGTATGGACAGCATCTGGGCATCTGCAGTTCCGTTAGGACACCAGCTTCCTGGACCTGCAGATTAGCGCTCAGTCCTTCAGGGTTGTACTCTCTCTGTCCCTTTCAGACACCAGGCTCAATCTCAGTGAGTCCCAGGTTACTCACAGTGTCCAAACTGGCTGGCTGTCAGTTGTTCCCACAGCCCCTCATATTTGGCAGTCCGCTGTGATGGCTCACAGCACCCAGGAACATGGAAACGTGTGTTAGAAAGGATGTAGATGAAGAGCAGGTGAAGAGGTACCTGGCGGAGTCCAGTAGGGTCCCAGGTACAGGGTGAGTGTGCCGTCTTCAGAGCACGGATCTTTGCAGACCCCAGAAGCTCTGAGCTGTGGAGACTTTCCATAGGCGTGATGGATTACTATTTCTTCCGCCCTTCTGTCCTAAAGGGTGGTAGGGCATGGTTGAAAGGTTCCACGCTTCTGATGGTAGTGTGGTTTTCCTGTGATAATTCCCATCCAGGAGCTGTGGAGGTCCCAGCAAGAGTCAGGTCATTAGCAAAAATGTGCTTTTACCCAGGAAATTCTGGGGTTTAGAAGCCAACTATTTTAGGAACTCTGCCTTTAACTAGGTCCGTATCTGTGCTGAGGCATGAGTGCACTCCCCAGCATCGCTCACTCACTCAAATAAATATGTGAGAGAAAAGAGACTTGTGAATCTATTTAGGTGAAGAGGGCAAATAAGCAGATAGACCTAAGAGTGAATGTCTAAGTGTAAAAACGTGGGACACTCGGGGTTGTGTTGCTATCACACTTTGAGCTTGTCTTCAGAGTACAGTGTTAGGGAAGGGCTGGTGAAGCGGCTCAGTGTTCGTTAAAGGCGTCTGCTGCCAAGCCTGACAACCTGAGTTTCCCCAGGACCCATAGGGAAAGGAGACACCTGACTTCCGTAAGTGGTCCTCTGACCTCCACATGTGCACCGACGTACTTGTGCCCCACACCCTCAATAAATAGAAATTAATTGAATTAAAAGTTGGGGAATTGTTTTTGAACATTACCAATCTTGTATTCTTTGAGATAATCAAGTACAGGTAATGGCTAGTATTTCCTGATTTTTTTGTCCTTAAAAACTAAGGTAATTCAGTATACACTTTTTTCTTTTTCTTTTTTAGGCAAGGTCTCACTTTAGCAGCCCAGCCAACTTGGAACTTTGTGTAGCCCAGGCTGACCTCAAACTCTTGGAGATCCATCTGCCTCTGCTTCCCAAGTGCTGGGATTAGAGGCGTGCACCACCACACCTGGAGATACTCATTTTGTTTGTGATACTTGTAGAAAATTTTGCTTAATTATAAGACCTTTCTCCTTATATTTTTTAACACCGAACATTAAAGTTTTTGCATTTCATGTACTTAGTATATGAATATATCACTTATACACTGTGTAACTAGTTAGCTTAGAGTATTAACAGTAGTATCTGTTGTAGTCATACTATTTAATTTTGATAAGATTGAAGTCATTTATTTGAATTCTTTACAATATATATCTTACATTTTAAGTGAAAAGGTTTTTTTTTTAAGTCTTATGCAGATTCAAAAATGTGAGCTGGTCTTGATTCACACCTACCCAGTTGGTGAAGACAGTCTTGTGTCTGATCGTCCTAAGAAGGAAGTAAGTATAGAAGGACTGGAAGAGGAGGGGATTGTGAGTTACACTAGCGGTGCTGAGAACAGTTAGCATCGGGCGTCATGTTGCTGCTACTTTGTGCCAAGAAAATATTTGAAAATCTGAAAACAAACCTATGTGTCAAACGTTGAAGTGGTCAAACACAGGACTGTCATAGTGACCGATCTCAACTGTTCTCTGTGGTACTTTGACGTCTATTTTAATGAAGTGTATTGCAAGCCCATATGCAGTTTTTATTCTTCCTAGTTCCTTCATGAATTTCATTTATTTTAGTAACTATGTAGATTTTTTTTTTCTTTTGAGAAAAGCAATACACTTAATAAAAATAGTCTCTGATGGCAGAGACACCAGTTTTTTAATATCAAGGCAAAGTTAGTTCCCAGCCTTTACTTTCTACTTTTGAAAAAATTTGGCAAATTAACAAATTTTTTTTGGATTTATTATTTTTTATGTGCAGGAGTATTTTGCCTGCATGTGTGTAAGTACACCCATGTGCGGTACCCATGGAGACCGAAAGAGACCCCTGGAACTGGAGTAACAGGCAGTCGTGAGCCACCGTGTGGGTGTTAGAAACTGAACCTGGGTCCCCTTAAGGGGAAGTGCTCTCAACCTCTTGAGCCATCTCTCCAGCCCTAAATTTAAAAAATTTTTAAAGATCATTCTTTTCATTAGTGAGTAGACTCACAGCACATCATTCTCCATCAGTAGTTTGAATTTAGAAATACAAATGTATCAGTTTATATCATTGCAGTGAATGTATATTGGATGTTCTAGTCTTTATTTTGTGGGTTTTTTTTTTTTTTTTTTTGGTCTTTTTGAGACAGGGTCTCCCTGTAGCCCAGGCTGTCCTGGAACTCACTCTGTAGACCAGGCTGGCCTCGAACTCACAGAAATCATCCACCTGCCTCTGCCTCCAAGTGCTGGCTATTTTGTATTTTTAATCTATGAATTTTTTTAAGTTATATTTTTTTTATTATCTCTATCATATTTTTAGGTGGTTTCCAAGCACCTGATTATTTTCTGCCCCTTTTAATGATATGATATGTTGGTTCTAGTTTGTGATAACCAAAATACTTTTTTACAGTGGTACTGCTCTGGAATGAAGACATTTTGTTAGCTCACTGTAACTTTTTGCTGCCTTGTCTGGTTTTAGTGATGAAATCAGATGTGGCGACTTACACATTCTTCTTTAATGTTTTGTTTTTGTTTTTTTGGGGGGACAGGGTTTCCCCACTACGCCCAGCTTCTTCTTTAATTTTTATGTGCAATTTTGCACTTGACAAAATGAAGAATTTTATTTCTATGAATTTCAATTCTGTTTTGCATATAAATAAATGGAAGTAAAAATAAATTAAAAATGTATTTAATGCCAGGCATGGGGGTGCACACCTTTAATCCCAGGAGAGGTAGAGGCAGGTGGATCTCTGTGTGTTCAAGGCCAGCCTGGTTTATATAGTGAGTTCCAGGCCAGCTGGGTCTGCAGGGAGACCCTGTCTCAAAAAGACCAAAAATTTAAAAAAAATAATTAAAAATGTACTTAAAGATTGCTCCACTCTGAGTTTTAAGAGGACACTGTGTCTGCTCACTGTTGTCTTACCTAGTGTCTCACATAGCTTCTCGACTATGGGGTAGTAAACTGATTTTACTGTGTTAAAAGAATGAATATATGAACATTTATTGCTAAAATAATTACGGTTATTTTTAGACTGTCTTTCCCCCACCCCCCAATTCTAAAAAGCTACTTAATTCTTAAAGGTATTGTTGGAATAAAGTATTTGTCACTAGGTTACAATGGAGTAATGTGTGTGGGTTTTTCTTTGTGGACTTCCCTGTAGTTGTCCCCGGTTTTAACCAGTGAAGTCCATAGCGTTCGAGCAGGGCGGCATCTTGCTACCAAATTGAATATTTTAGTGCAGCAGCATTTTGACTTGGCTTCGACGACTATTACCAATATTCCAATGAAGGTAAGGCAGTTCTTTTTCCTGACATTTTGAAAGCTGTACTTTGCTCTTTGAATATTTGCTTGATGTGCATTGTTCATTTGATTGAACCTTGACTTTCTCTCACCATGTCATGTTTTGTTTTGCTAGCCCACATTCAATGTCTCTGGCCAGGTCAGTAAACACAACAGTCACCAAGAAAGGCTCACAGAGCTGGTGCCTCTGACTGTTTCCAGTAGCAGCGTGTCATAGGAGAACTTTTAAAGAACTTTGTTCTTATTCTCATAAAAATATCCTCTATGTTTTAAATTATTTCTCTGTGGTTCTTCTCCTGAGAGTAGGATTAGATTTTACTCTTATCTCCTATATTTTGCTCTTGCCTACCCAAGTATAAAGATGATTTTGAGTCATCGGTCTGACTGGAGAAGTACATGGCTTCCAGTCGATTATTTCTCTAGGTGAGGAGCCATAGCTATGAGTCCTGTGACTTTATCAGTAGGTTTAAGATCTGCCAGTCCCTGTTCCTGTGACTAGGTTATCAGGATCAGCGGTATGCCCAGCACAGTGAGCTTCAGGTGAGCCATTGACTGGGCTTGAGTTCACTGCAGTGCTTACGTCTAAAATGTGCAGCAAGCACTCCACCTATAGTCACCTCCCTGTGGTCCAGCTCAGCTTTTCTCTCTCTCTCTCTCTCTTGAGATGGGGTTTCACCTTGTAGCCCATGCTGATTTGAAACTTGTGACACCCCCACTCAGCCTCCCTAGTCCTGGATCACAGGCAGGAATCGTGGGGCCAGCCTCATTCTCAGTTTCCTGCCACTGCTGCCTTGTGAGCACTGACGTGCAGGAGAAGCCTTGTCTCTCTCCATGGCCTGTCCCCATGCTCCAGGGCAGGTTCTTTGCTGAGTCTTTCGGACTGGCCCTTTGGGGTCATGTTGATGCAGAAGCAATGAACAAAATAACGTCAAACATACCTTAGTGTGTCGTTTTCTGAGTTAGAAGGAAGGTTCCCCGAAGGTTAACAGATGACTTGCTTGTTGAACTTGACATTTGTGTGCCTCTGTCGTGATTCTTCTTCAGTCCTCGTCTGCTCTAGAGAATAGATGATATTGAAAACAAGTTGCTGAACTTGTTTACTAGGTAGTATTCCCTATTTAAATAACGTGTTCACTAACTCATTGCAGATATTTAAAGATGCCATTTCCTGTTTTTAACAACTATTTTAATTAATGTATATAAATTATTTCAGTTATATTTCTTATGAAAATATTGGCAAGCTAATAAATACATTTGGAATTGAAATTTTTCAGAAGTTTTAGATAAGTCATTTATGTTAATTCTGACATGATATAAGAAAGTCATTACTCATTGCCTGTATATGGCCAATAGTTGTAAAGCACACTTCATGGTGCTGTTCAAAACCATTGCATCTTTAAATAAATTACTGAGTACACTATCCTGTTTTTTAAGCTAGTCATGGCCGAATATATTTGACCTCACTTCAAGCAGAAAGCAAAGTAAATAATTTATTTCATTGTTTTAAAAGCATACCCATTATTTAAAATTTCTTAAACTTTGCTTAAAGGAAGAGCAGCACGCCAACACATCCGCCAACTACGATGTGGAGCTGCTTCACCACAGAGATGCGCACGTGGACTTCCTGAAGAGCGGTAAGAGGCATTTCAAAGTCCTTTTTGTAAGATCTAACAAGAGCAGAATGGCCTAGGCGCGCACCCATCCCCAGACATACCTGACAGCATCACTGTTAACGTCTGATGTTCTGTGAAGTTTACTTTTGGAAAGAGGGAGGAGCTTCAAGCTAAAACACAGCAAGTTCTGTGTTTCTGTGTTTCATTTTGGATACTTGTAAATTACAGGTACAGGTCAAATGAATCTTACTATTCCATCCACTCCAAAATTCAATGAAATTTTAAGAGTCTGAAAGCCTTAAAACCTGACATTTGACTCTGTACTTGAAGATGCTGTCAATCTAGATCAATGCTAACAGAGCTAGGTGGACATCGTGGATCATGTTGTGTGCATCTATCTGGAGCCCGATCGTGAGCCAGCTGCAACATTTGTTACATGTCTAAGGAATCTGGGAATTCACTACTGAGTTGCTAAGAGGAGAAAAACTACTGTGAAAAATGCACTTACTAATGTTTAGCAAAGGAAGGTAGAGAGATGGCTCAGCGGTTAAGAGCACTGGTTGTTCTTACAGAAGACCAGGGTTCGAATCCCAGCACCCACATGGCAGCTAACAACTGTCCATAACTCCAGTTTCAGGAGTATCCGACAGCCTCTTCTGTCCTCCGCGGCGGGCATTGCACGACATGGGTACACTTACCTACATGCAGGCAATATACGCATACACATAAAATAAAAATAATAAATAAAATATTTTGAAAAAAAGAAAATACAGCTCATGGAAACTGCTAGGAACCTGTGACATGATGTCAGTTTTTAAGGTATCTGTGATTTGGTTTGTTTTGGTTTTTTGGTTGTTTCGGTTTTTTGGTCTTTCTGAGACAGGGTCTCCCTGTAGTCCCACCTGCCTTGGAACTCACTTTGTAGACCAGGCTGGCCTTGAACTCACGGATTCACCTGCCCCTGCTTCCTGAGTGCTGGTTCCCTGTCTCGCTGCAGCATCTCTCTGCCCCCTGCAGACCTTGTGGTCTTCCTGCCTACCCCTGCCACAGGATCCTGACTTCCGCTGGTCTCTGCCTGAATGCTTTTTCTTCCACCCTTTAGTTTCTGCTCTGTCCTCTAGGACTGACACCTGTCTTTCCTTCTCAGGGACGCTTTCCCAGTGTCCCTGAGTAGATCTGAACGGCTCTCAGTACTGTGCATGTCTTCAACACTGTCAGCTTCGTGGTTTCAGGTTTGTTCGTCATTGGACGACCTGGGTGCTCTGCTCTGCTGAAGGCGCCATTAAGGCGGAAATACTGTGGTGTTTCCTTACACATTCACTTCCGAGAGCCCTTATGTTTCCTCTAAAGAAACTCATTTGAATTCAGTTGCACATTTAAGTATTGATCTGTGTTACTTTGTCATTTAAAGGTGTGGGCAAGGAGTGACCATTATGATGTGTGATGTTTGTAGAATTTTTGTTACTGACCCTAGATGGTTAAGTTAGTACATGAAGGATTGGAAGGGGAATTGTTGATTTGGATCAGAACTAGTTAGCCATCCTCTGCTTGTCATTTTTTTCTAGGACAGTGTGAAAAGAAAATGTTCTCCTGGATCTTCTCTGGAACTCAAACTTACTTTGAAAACGTGTGTAAACGATTCCTTTGGCGTTTTCAATCCTCTAGTAACGTTAGTGTTTCTCTGACCTTTTAAAGGTGACGCACACTTGGGTGGCAGCAGAGACGGCCCCTTTAAAGAGACAGTGACTCTGAAGTGGTGCACACCCAGGACCAACAGCGTAGGTGAGTCGCCGTGATGGGAAGGGTGCCAAGCCAGGGCTCTAGAGTATTGCTTTGCTTTTCATTGCTTTGGGGACTTAGTGAGCACGTTTTTGTTTAATTGTGGGGATATTTCTTTATATTCTTTCAAATCAGTGTTCCCTTCTATTTCAGAATTACACTATTGTACTGGAGCGTATCGAATTTCGCCTGTAGATGTAAATAGTAGACCTTCCTCCTGCCTTACTAATTTTCTTCTCAATGGTAACTTTTATCATCATTTAATGGTTTAATTGCAGTTAGAAGTGAAATAATTAGTGTCACTGTTTTGTCAAAATACCCTTAACTGTTTTGCTGAGGTTTACAGAATGACTGTCTGGCTTTCAAACTGTTATATCTAAGCAAATTTTATATAACATAGTTCTAAGTATTTTTATTAGGAAAAAAATTGACCTTTAGAGTCTAATGTGTGTTTTTGGAAGCTAGAATACTAAGACCTTTGTCTTGGCCCCTTAATTAAATATGTATGATTTTCTTGGAATACTTCACTTTTATCAGATACATATTTCCGCATCACACCTGATTCTTACCTATGACCTTAAATTCATGGTTTCCTTATTTATTTATTTGATAAATCTCAATTGTTGACTTCTAGCTCCTAAATCTACATTTTCAAAGCTCTTCTGGTAATTTTTATGATGGTCTAGGTTTTGGAACCATTGATTTAAAAAATCAGTCTTCCTTTTTGTAACTTAAATTTCATTGCTATGCTAAGTACACTTTATCAGACTGTGCAAAATCCATATTTGACAACATTCGGACCTGTGAAATAAAAAGTAGTTCCAGTGACCGCATAATGTGGTATTGTGGGAGGAAGTCAAGACCATGCCTTCTCCCCCAGTATCTTACAGTTTTAATGACCTGAAGGTTTCCTAGCAGTTTTCACTTGTCATTTTGAATGTCCAGGAGAAAAGTTGCGTGTGAACTTGAAATTGAGTAAAACATACAAGCACAGCACTCTACTGCTTTTGGAAAGCAATCCAGATCACTGTGTAAGCGTTGACGTGCCCGAGAGTGAGTGAAGGTGTTTTGGAATTGAGTTGTAGATATGTTAGCTTAGCAACGTTGATTAAAATATGGGGATCAGCAAATCAAATGAAAGCACCCAGACATAAGCCTTGCTGCGATAAATAAGCTTAATCTTGCTTTCGACAGGTCGTTCTGTTTTGTTGGAACAGCCACGAAAGTCAGGTTCCAAAGTCATTAGTCACATGCTCAGTAGCCATGGAGGAGAGATATTTTTGCATGTCCTCAGCAGTTCTCGGTCCATTCTAGAAGATCCACCTTCCATTAGTGAAGGCTGTGGTGGAAGAGTCACAGACTACCGGATTACAGTAAGGCTTTATTATCTGTACATTTCGTTTGGCGTCTACCATCAGTTAGCAAGTAGTTACTGAGTTCTTTTTAGATGTTAAGGTTATAGAAAAAGACTTGGAGGAGGGTGATTCCTGTTTCAGTAGGTGAATTTCTGCAGTCCTCACTAAAGTCACGCTGCACTCTTCTATGTTACATATTCAGCATGTGTGAGAAGTGTCTGGTGGACTCAGACACTGGGACTACAGAGAAGAAGGAAAATTAGACTGTTGCTCCGTTCTAATTTGATTTCTACTTATTGAAATGTCAAACATTTGCATATTTGAATGGCAGCTGCTTTAAAATACATTAACTGTTTGAGTATTAGAAGGACCAAACAGTGAAATCACGTGCCTTTTGGTAGAAAGGCCTGTTTTTCTTATTTTCCATTCACCCTCCCTCTTTTGTATTTGGTATTTCATAGCTACTTTGTCGAGGTGATTGCCAAAATCATATGTGGATTTATGTATGCAGTTATTCTTCAGAAACCATAAAGTATTGTGTAGTGTGTATTTTTACTAAGCTTTTCTTTTTTCATCATTATTACTATTTTTATTTTATGTGTATGAGTGTTTTGCCTCATGGATGTAAATGCACCCATGTCATGCTGTACCTGAGCAGGTCAGGAGAGGGCATCAGATTCCCCTGGAACTGGAGTTACAGATGGTTGTTAGCTGCCATGTGGGTGCTGGGAATCGAACCTAGGTCCTCTGGAAGAGCAGCCAGTGCTCTTAACTGCTGAGCCTTCTCTCAAGCCCCTTATAATTTTTTTTTTTAATAAAGGGGAAGCCAATCAGTACTCATTATGGAAAACTAAGAGCAAACAAACACCTACAAACACACACACAACAAAAAGTCTAACTTGCCTATAATTCCATCATTCAAAGATGAATACTGTTGACAGTTTGAAGCTCTGTGAAGTGGCATTTAATAAGCAGATTGGTCTAATGTGGTTAACTTGTACTCTATATGAGAGTAGTTAAATTATAGGAGTGAAATAAAGTTAACATCCCCGAGTACTTGAAAAGGGACAAGTAGTAAGGCGTGGTGGCGCACGCTTTTGATCCCAGCACTGGGGAGGCAGAGGTGGGCAGATTTCTGAGTTCCAGGCAGCCTGGTCTACATAGCAAGTTCCAGGCTAGCCAGGGGTACACAGTGAAACCCTATCTCAAAACAAACAAGCAAAAATAAAGAGGGCAAAGTAGACGCATGCATTTATGCCTGAAGCTGTCCTCATTTCCACTATAGGAAGGTGGGTTACGGTTCAGCTTCAAGACTTGGGGGGGGGGGTGCAGAGGGGCCCATTAGAGAAACGGCTTTGTTGCCAGTCACAGGATGGAAGACGTGAGGGAAACAGACTGTTAGTTGTAATCCTACTGAAACATTAGAGATAGTTTCTAATTTTATCTTATTTGGTTATCATTAGGATTTTGGTGAATTTATGAGGGAAAACAGATTAACTCCTTTTCTAGACCCCAGATATAAAATGGACGGAAGTCTTGAGATCCCTTTGGAACGAGCAAAAGAGCAGTTAGAAAAGCACACCCGCTACTGGCCTATGATTATCTCACAAACCACCATTTTCAACATGCAGGCGGTAAGTCTGCTCCCTTCTCTTGTGGGTTACTGTGTGTGTAGCTGTAGAAACAAGTCGTAATGGTGCCGTTCTCAAGAAGGAAAGCACGTTTGCTGCAGCTGGTTAGTGCATGAAGACGGAGCTCACAGCCGCAGACTTCCCTCCCCACTGCCACCCTAAAGTCAGCTTTACAATCAAGTTCTTGAGTGCTTTGATAATGTGTTTTTCAAGACAGATTCTTTGTTTTATTTTCAAATGTAACAGGTAGTTCCATTAGCCAGTGTTATTGTGAAAGAGTGTTTGACAGAAGACGACGTGCTGAATTGTCAAAAAACCATATACAACTTAGTGGATATGGAAAGAAAAAATGACCCTCTACCCATTTCCACAGTTGGTACCAGAGGAAAGGGTCCTAAAAGGTAGGGGTTTCCCTTAATTTCTCTATACATCACACTTACTTCATGAACATTACGTCTTAGCATAATTTCTCTGTGTGTAAATTATTTGAAGATGTACATGTACATATGATGGAGACATAGGATGGTAGGTGTTGCTACATTATAGTTTAGAATTCCACTCTTGGGACTGGAGAAATGGCTCAGTGATTAAGAGTACTTACTGCTCCTCCAGAGGACCCAAGTTCTGTTCCCAGTACCCACATTGGGCAGTTCACAACCTCCTGTAAATCTAGTCCAGTGAATCCCATGCCCTCTTCTGGCCTCTGTGGGCACCTGCACGGTCTGCAGATACCGCCCCCCCCGAAATATGCATAAATAAAAATAATAAAAATAAATGTTTAGAATTCCATCATTGACTGTCAAGTAAAAGGCAAGAAGCGTATCTTCCATTTACCAGTAGCAAGTGACACTTAAATATTATTTAATGTAAAAGCATTTCTGAGAGTGTTATTTTCAATCTTACTGCAGAGATGAACAATACCGTATCATGTGGAATGAATTAGAAACCCTTGTCAGAGCCCATATCAACAACTCGGAGAAACATCACAGAGTTTTGGAATGTCTGATGGCATGCAGGAGCAAACCCCCAGAGGAAGAGGAACGAAAGAAGAGAGGCAGGAAGAGGGAGGACAAGGAGGACAAGTCAGAAAAGGCAGCAAAAGAGTACGAGCAGGAAAAGCCCTGGCAGGATTCCGAGAGGTGACTGGCGCTGGGTGTCAGCACGGTGCTTTCGGCTGAGACTGCTCGGGGCATGCTCAGACCTCATTAGTGCATGCTTACCCATCTGTGACCATAACTTTTTTAGGAGGTCTTTCTTTGCTTTAAAAAGGTGCAGTGTTGGTTTTGCAGACCAGCTTCTGGGTGTCATGCCATTTGATCTAGTGTGCTCTTTTAATGTTGTGAATTTCAAATACATATTTTGTGTTGAGTGGTTTGCTAGGCCCTTGTCAGGAGCTCCCAGCAACACAGTGTGGGAGGCTGCCCTTGGGAGCAGAGGAGCGTGCAGTCCTAATTCTGAAGCATTCCTCAGCAGTGCACTGCTTCCCCTTGATGTGTGATTTCAAGGTTTAAAAAAACTAAAAAGTAAGAAGACACATAAATAAAATGTTAAAACGAAGGCCGGCCAGATGGCCCAGCTGGTAAAGCACTTGTGGCCAAACCTTATGACCTGAGTTTACTCCCTGACATGGCGAAGGAGAACGCTGACTCCTGCACGCACATTGTCCTCTGACTTCTAAATGTGCTCTACAGCACATGTGTGCCCTCTGAGTACATAATAAATTTTTTTTTCTTTTTTTTTTTCTTTTTTTTCTTTTCATTGCAGCTGGTTTGTTTGTTAGTTTGTTTGTTTGAAGCAGGGTCTCCCTCTAGCCCCAGCTGTCCTGGAACTCACTATATAGACCAGGCTGGCCTTGAACTCACAGAGATCCACCTGCCTCTGCCTCCCAAGTGCTGGGACTACAGGCATGCGCCACCACGCCCGGCCCATAATAAATTTTTTAAAGTTAAAAAAATATTATGACTGAGCTGTCTATTCCTCTGCCTCCTTGCCACAGATCAGCCAAACAGTTCAATAAATATTCAAGTGGCTTCAGCTAAGTACTTAGAGACAAAGAACTTTTCATTAAGGACAGTTTAAACATACACTATTCAATAAGTGCATGCCTAGTGCCTGTAGCAATTCATTCATAGCAGACCTCAGGTCATACATACGTCTTTCTACATCTGCTACCTTCATGATGCTCCATGGGATGCTCCATGGGAACATGTGGATGGTAATTTTGGAAATCCTATCAGTTTATAGATAAGTAGAATACTTTTATTCCCTTCTGTTTAAGTAGTTCACTTTTAGCTAGGCGTGGTGGCACACGCCTTTAGTCTCAGCACGTGGGAGGCAGAGGCAGGCGGATCTCTTGAGTTCAAGGCCAGCCTGGTCTACATAGTGAGTTCCAGGCCAGCTGGGGCTCCAGGGAGACCCTGTCTCAAAAAGACCAAAAAGGAAAAAAAAAAAGTTCACTTTTTCCTGCAGACTGTAAGAGGAGGAAAGACCTGCTTCAGGCCCTGCTGACCTTCAAGTGCCCAGCTGCATACATTGAAAACCCTTCTCTCCCTGATGAAACACTAGAAGCTTAGAATGAGGCTTTCAACTCAGGAGACCTAAACCCATTTCCCCAGTGTAGACAGCAGAACAAAGGATGGGGAGGGTTAGTCTGATCTGTGGTGTGTAATAGTATTTCCTTCACCTTTAAAATTGGGGCTTGTCTTTAGTTTCCCTCTTTTGGTTTTTCCTGTTTTATGGTGACTAATCCTTGAACTATTCTGTTATTCCTAGGAGAGGAAAGGGAAAGTTGTGTTTTATTCATTAAGCTCTTTTATCTAATTTTAGACTATCATGAGGTCAGATACGTTTTGTGAAAACTGATGTGCTGCACAGATAGTTTAATTACTGGGCGTTTATAGAATTCTGAAATTAAACTCTTTTATTTGTCCCTCTACAAGATTAAAAGGAATTTTAGAACGTGGAAAAGAAGAGCTGGCCGAAGCTGAGATTATAAAGGATTCACCTGATTCCCCAGAACCTCCGAACAAAAAGCCCCTTGTCGACATGGACGAGACTCCGCACATGGAAAAGTCCAAAGGTAGAGGCAACCCTGGGCACGTGCTGGCCGTTTCCCAGCTAGGCTCTTGTCTTGTACTGAGTAACTTACATTGTGTCTGTAAGAAAGAGCTCCTGACTACTTCCAGGAGTGGGGCAGGTGATTGTCTGTCCCAACCTTGGAAGACCTAGGCAGTAAAGATAGTTTTCAGTATTTAAAACATAGTAGTGTTGTACCTCCATTAATGAAGGCTTTGTAAAAGAACTATAAAGTCTGCCCTTCAAGAAATTATAAATTTGGAAATGTGAATCTGCTTAGTAAGTTCCTGAAACTACCGAGGGCTAGGTTATGGAAGACAGATTCTTCCCTGAACTCTTACTAATTTTTTTTTTTTTTTTAGTTTTTTTGAGACAGGTTCTCCCCATATCTCCTGCTGGTCTGGAACTTGCTTTGTAGCCCCAACTGGCCTTGAACTCACAGAGATCCACATGCCTCTGCCTTCCGAGTGCTGGGATTAAAGGCATATGCCACCGTGCCTGGCCTAATATTTTCAATTAGTGTACAAAATTACTGGTTTCATTAGGACATTTTCATACACAGAATGTCACTGTCATTGCTCATAGGCATTTTCTACACACTGCCCTCTACTGTCCCTCCTGTACCTGTCCTTTACTGGTACCATCCTCCCAGCTAGTCTCCTTACACACACACACACACACACACACACGCGCGCGCACACAAACGGATTCTGCATATAAAAAATACGTGCTGTGTTCCCACCCACCAACTCTTCTGGAACCAGGGAAGGATGTATGATGCTAATGTGTAGTAAATTAAGATATGGCTTGAATGAGGGTAAGTGAAGGTATTATTATTGTCCATGTTTTCACTGTAAAACTTTTCATCTCTTATTTATAGGTTGAGAACTTTTAATTTCCTCTTGAAGCAGTTCTAGGTGTTAACAATAGGACTTGGGCTTCAGCTCCTGACATCTGGGCCTTAGCGTCCTTGACGGTCACCTGGGTTCACTCTTCTTAGGCTACATAGGAGGTCATCAGACTGATTGGTGTCTTGTTCCTGAGCCTCTCCTAAGGCAGAGAGACCAGGGCTGGCACCTTGCTGTTTCAGACAGGTCATCCTAGGGATTGAGCAGCCTGGCTTGCTCCTTAGACAGCTCTGTTGGTCTGCATTGTGACGTGTTCTGGTCTGCAGGTTTCTAGTGTCCTTAACATTGGGGAGTCAGAGATAACCCTTGAGGTGGTCTACTGGAGTGTCTAGAAAATAGGAGGCTTTGAATGCCTGTCTGTTGGTCAATTATTTTACACCTCACATGTCAGAACTTACCACTGTGGGATAGAATGAGAAATTCAGGCACACGTTTATTTTCTGGAACATCTTTTATTCTTGGACGGTTTCATACAGCATATCCAGTGTGTCTTGATCACACCTCCCAGTTACCCTTCCCTTGCAAACCCCCCACTGTGTCCCTTTCCGCCCTTTGTGTTTCTTCTTTTCTCTCTCTTTTCTGGTGACTCACTGAGTCCATTTGGTTGACGTATGTTGTGTTTTCCCTGTGAGAGGAATTTAGGTGTACTTAAACAGTGTGTCAGCATTTCTTGGAAAATAGAACTCTAAAAGTATCATTTATGCTGACAACAATTACAAGTAGCTAGGGCTGGAGAGATGGCTCAGGTTAAGAGCACTGGCTGCTCTTGCAGAGGACTCCAGTTCGGTTCCCAGCACCCACGTGGCAGCTGACAACCATCTGTAACTCCAGTTCCAGGCCTTCTGACCTCCTGGGTACTTCATGACATGGGTGCACTTAGACACACACACAGGCAGTACACTCATACACATAAAATAAAAATAATAAAATATTTAGAAATTGAAAACAGCCAAAATATGTATTAGTAAAAGAAAATGATTACTAGTGGTCCGTAGAAAGGAACGTATATAGCCAGGAATAGTCCTGTTCCAGATGCTCACAGTTGTGCACAGGTGCTGCCCCTGCATCCCAGGGCTACTCAGCAGCATGTGGAACACTGCACTGACAGTTCACTGCCATTGGAAGCTTTTTTTTTCTTTCTTGAGACAGGTCTCACTATGTAGCCCCAGCCGGCCAGAAATTCACTTTGTAGACCAGGCTGGCCTGGAACTCACCTGCCTTTGCCTCCTGGGTGCTGGGATTAAAGGTGTGCACCATGACAGCCCTGTGAAGCATTTTAAGTGCAGGATCTGTTTAATGTACTGTCATCACAACCCACTGGCGTCCCTGCTAAATGAGTGAGGGAATGAATGACCACATGGAATTTAGGAGGAAAGTAAAGCAGGCTTCAGTCCATGTATGTTTGATCCTAGTGTTGCTTAAGAGTGTTTTCATACACGTACACCACTCATTTGGGTGAATTTCAGCTGTCGCTAAATGAATCCCTGAGACTTGTTCCCTGAAAATGGCAAGGCCCGTGGGGAAGCAGTCCCACTGTGAGCCGCTGTCTGCCCTTGCAGCTGCCCATTGGGGACTGACGGTTGGAAAGTACTTGTTTTCCGTTCTATTTTAAGGCCTACGTCATCCTGTCTCTCCGGATCAGCAGCTTTCCTTATTATACCTCAGTCTCGCCGGCTTTGGAAAATGACTTCTCACACCTCCTCTCATAGTCCGTTCTGTGCTGGTGTGTATCTACGCTGTCCTGAAGACTGGGCTCTTAGAATGCGCCCTCTAGATTTGCTGAAGATGTGCTCCACTTTCTTGGTACAATACAGTAGCATTTTGTTGGCATGTTGGCATTCAGTTCAGGATCACAATGTTTATAGTTGCCGGAGCAATGGTATTGCGGGTGATTTATTTATTTGTGTGTGTTCAATTTTAAAATTTTTGGCTAATGAGTGTTATTTTATAGAAAAAAACATACATTTTCATTTTTAATTTTTTAAATGTCAAAAGCACTGTTTATACAGTAATACTAACTTGCTGCGGTGCGGGTCTCTGGGTTTAGACGTTGTGTGAAATGGTGTAATGGTTGTCAGCACAGTTGCCACCTGATGTCCCTTCATGTCCATCCTGTGTTCACCCCGTCCCCAGTACCCAGGAACTGCCGTGTGTGTGCTGTTCTGAAGCTGGGCCTTTTTCACAGTGTCTCCCAAATGCAGTCAGATGTGCTGTCTGGAGGTTGACACTGTCTGGGGGTCGGCTTCATCACATGGCATATGTGTTTGAGAGTCATCCGTGAAGTGTGTGTCAAAGAAGCCCCACCAGTCTGTTCCCCACTGCAGTGTGTGTTGTGGTTCCGCATCCCCGTCAGCACTGGCTGTTGTCTGGTTACTGTTGCTCTGCTTTTCTGACAGGTTCTGGTCAGTTCCTGACTGCGTCCGTCTCCTCCCGACTGTGACTTATGTTTGGAGCTTCTCGTTTGCATGTTGTTCAGATCTTACCTGCTTTACCTTGGGTCCTTTCCTTTCTGTGGATTTTTTAGTGTTTCTTACTTACTCTGGATACAAATCCTTGGGGGTGTGATCTGGAAATATTCTCTCCTGCTGTGTGGCCTTTCCTGTGAATGTAAATGTTGAAAAGTAGAAGTTGCCAATGTTGTTGAAGTCGAATATATCAGTTTTTGCTATCGTGATGCTTTCGGCATTTGTAAAAATTTAATCTGAAGTCCTGTTTTCTTTTAGGAATTTTAGGATTTTACACTCTTCGTTTAAGCCATGATATATTTTGAATATTTTTATTTTAGCAGCCTCTTCCCCTCATAAAAACCGTGGGCCTTGTGCACATGAGGTGAATGTTCTACCACTGAGCTCCCCTTTGAGTTTTTAATAAGGGGCAAAGCGTGGCCCAGTGTTCACTTGGTGTTTGTTGAGGAGACTGACCTGTCTCCCTCTCCTCGCCCTGGGCGTTTATTTCAGAAGTGTGTTGGCAGTGTCGGGGCCCTGCTTCTCTCCTTTTCTGTTGGTCTGTGTCCCTTCCTGATCCTGCAAGTTCTGCCTCCAGTCGAGTAGTGCGGAGTCCTCTTCTGTTGTCTTTTCAAAGTCACTTTGGCTCTTCTCGTTCTCTCACTTTCTTGCTCAGGAAGTGAACAGAGTGGCCAGCCTGAGGCTGTCCTCCTGAGAAACACCCAGCGTGTTTCTTGCCAGTGTGGCCTTTGGCTCTAGCACCTTAGAACTTGGCTTTTGCAACTTTCCCTAGATGATGAAGGAATCCTGCTTTATCTAGGTTTATCACCAGCTGCCTTCTGGAAGCTGAGAACCCTTACAAGAACCGACTCAGGTCTCTTACGTACACAGCCCTGCATTTTGCTTCTAGAGGGAGTGTGTCCTCCGTGTGAGCCCCCATGGGAATCAGAGCATGAAGGAGGTCTGGGAATGGGCTCCTCTGTCTCCCCTGCCGCTCCTTCCCCTCGATGACCTGCTGTGTGTCCTTACTGTGCTGCTGCTATCATTCTTAGTCACAAGCATAACTTTGAGTCATTTGAGTCCTGAGCTGGTCTTGGGGACCCTGGTACACACGATGTTAGTTAGAAGAAGATGCGTTGCCTCAGTTACATGCTGAGCAGTAATAGAAGTAAGCCTAAGGTCGGTCGGTGGGTTTGTAAAATTTGAAGTAATCATTTTCTGCCTTTTTCTCTTCTTTCTGATGTCACACCAGGACCAATATCATTGTTGTCCTTGTGGAGTAATAGAGTCAACACTGCCAATTCCAGAAAGCACCAGGAGTTTGCGGGACGATTGAGCTCTGTCAATAACAGAGCTGAGTTATACCAGCACCTTAAGGAGGAAAATGGGTTTGTGCTATTTACTGTTAAACAGTTTTTGTTAATTGTACAGTCCCTTAATGAACACACAGGCCCTTAATGAACACACAGCCCCTTAATGAACGCACAGCCCCTTAATGAACACACAGCCCCTTAATGAACGCACAGTACCTTAATGAGAATGGCTTGCTCGTTATGGTCAGCAAGTTTTTGCTATTATGAACTAATGCACGCTACCTCCAAGGAGAAAAAAATGAACTTGTTTGATTCTTGGTACTCATGCAAGGCCCTGTTTATTGATGATAATTGTGAAACTATTTATTAGTTATAGCATTTTTTTCAGGGAAAAATCATAGAGAACATTGAATCTGTATGATGAAGAGGAAATGCTTTCCTATCAAGGAAGATAGTGTTAAAATGTTAGAATGGAATGAATTCCAAACCTGATGATTTTAATCAGTTTTTAGAAGAAATCCTCCTGAATATATTGGCAAAGGAATTTCTTCAGTAGAAATCTTTGACTAAGCGTAGAGACTTGTCCCGTATTTCTGCTTGGAGGAGGGAGAGCAACACAGGGAAAGGAGCTGGTAGCCTTTGAAAGGTAACTCGAGGGAAGTCCCTGGCCTGTCCACTAGCCTGCCCAGGGAGGTGGCTGGACTGTGGGAGGGCCCAGAATTCTGTCCTTCCTTCGAATGCTCGTGTTCTGTTCTGAGAGTAGGTCAGTTTTAGCTCCGATAGACAGAGTAGGTGAAAACATGGACTGTTAACTCATGCCTCATTTTCCCTTCTCACCTTTTCAGGATGGAGACCACGGAAAATGGAAAAGCCAGCCGTCAGTGAAGAGACTCGAGGAACTAAGTTTAGTAATGCAAACATATTTTGGGCAGAATTTGATATAAGTACTTTTACAGCAAGATTGTATAGCTATGTTGCCTGGACTGGTTTTTACATTTTTAAAACATTTGAACAAATTATCTTTTTTGTACTAATTCTAAGATTGGCAGAGTCAAAAAATATACATTTGAGATTTGTCCTCCCAAATCGGGATCCAACAGCCTCTTCTGATCTCCGCGGGCATTGCGGGCACTGACCTACATGCAGGCAACACACACAAAACTACCAAAAAAAAAAAAAAGAAAGAAAAAAAAGAAATACAGAGTAGCCAGCAAAGTCACCTTCTTCAAGTGTTGGTGTGTCATAACATGTGGTAGCTTGAAGGAGAATGTCCCCAATAGGCTACAAGTACTTGGACATTTTGTCCCCAGTTGGTGGCCTTGCTGGAGGAAACATGTCACTGGAGGCAGACTTTAAGAGTTCTTAAACCTTGCCAGGTTTCCAGTCTCTCCCTGCTTCCTGTGCCTGCTTGAAGATGTGATCACTTGGCTTTCCGCTCCTGCTCTGGCCACCTCTGAGGCCACACCTCCCCACAATGATGGGCTCTTACCACTCTGGAACTATAAAGCAAATAACCTCTTCCTTTTATAAGTTACCTTGGTCATGATGTTTTTTCACAGCAACAGAAAGTAGCCCTACAGATGTGTCAGTTAGAAAGTGTTCACATGAGTAGTCCTAGAGATGGTCACTTGGGATATTATATCACTCTTCCAAAGTAATTCTCAAAATTTAGTAAATTTAAAGCATCAGAATAGAAATGCAGAATGTTCACTTTTATATTACCCTAGCACTCAATGCTATATTTTTCTATCTTGAAGGTCTTTAGAGAAAGAAAAATCTAGTGGAAAAGCAATATTGCTTTGTTGCAATTGTCCAAAAAAACAATGAACTTGCATTCAGCTACATAAAGATAGACTTTTTTTCAGAGAAGAGTCTCAAGAGACAAGAGTTCACTGAGAGATGTGGAAAATGTGACTGATCTTTACCCAAAAGTACGCCCCTCCTGTTTGTTTTATTCTAAGTAAATCTCCTAACTTAAAAACTTTGTCACAAGGGGCTGGAGAGATGGTTCAGTGGCTAAGAGCACTGGCTGCTCCTGCAGAAGACCTGACGTCAGTTCCCAGCACCCACATGCACCTAACCATTCTTAACTCCAGTTCCAGAGGATCTGGTGCTTCTTCTGGCCTCCATGGACATTGCATGCATGTGGTAAATACATGAAGAAAAACATTCATACATATAAAATAAAAATAAATATTAAAAAACTTTGTCAGAAGTTAACTATTAAAGAAAGGATCAATTATATGATAGAAAAAATACAACTGTCCGTCAATAGATTTTGAGATGTCATCCTGATGAGTCATTATCTGTTATACTTAGTCTCTTTCCACTTTCCTTATCCCTACACCTTCAATAGTCAAATTTGAACCACATTCATTCAATCTAAGTCCAGAACAAGGGGAGCATTCATCTAAGTCAATGACAAAAAGTTATATAGAAAAAGTATTACAGATCAATAAGACATTGAGGATAGTATATGCCTAGAATGATTAAGAGAAATTTCACAGAGCTTGGTGATGTAGCTCAGTTGATAGAGTGTTTGCCTAGCATGCACATAGCTCTTGGGTTAAAACCCAGCACCTTATAAAATCAGGCATGGTGGTGGCATCTGACTGCAACCCCAGCACTTGGGGTAGAGACAGGAGGATCAGAATTTTAAAGTCATCTTCTGCTACATAGTGAGTTTGAAGCCAGTCTGGGCTGCATAAGGAAAGAAAGAAGAAAGAAAAAGAAAGAAAGAAAGAAAGAAAGAAAGAAAGAAAGAAAGAAAGAAAGAAAGAAAGAAAGAAAGAAAGAAAGAAAGAAAGAAAGAAAGAAAGAAAGAAAGAAAGAAAGAAAGAAAGAAAGAAAGAAAGAAAGAAAGAAAGAAAGAAAGAAAGAAAGAAAGAAAGAAAGAAAGAAAGAAAGAAAGAAAGAAAGAAAGAAAGAAAGAAAGAAAGAAAGAAAGAAAGAAAGAAAGAAAGAAAGAAAGAAAGAAAGAAAGAAAGAAAGAAAGAAAGAAAGAAAGAAAGAAAGAAAGAAAGAAAGAAAGAA